TTAAAATAGCATCCAGGAAGTAATTGGAATTTAAACATTCAAAATGAAAATGCAGAGATCCCAGAACAATTCGTTTAACCCATGGCCAAAGGGAGTCCACAAACGTGGGAGAAATTCAACGCGTCAGAACAAACAGATGTTCTTGGCCTATATGGATCCATAAATTTCTTTAGCAAATGGCTTCGAAATATTTGTTTAACCAATTAAATGGGTTAATTAGCATCCGATTAGCAGAACGGCGAGATGAGAGTGGAGGGAGAAACACTTTTTGGCCTACTGCTCATTGATGTTTCACTTGATAAACTCAACGCGCTCATGAATATATCAGATATATATATACATATGTGGGATATATAGGTTCAACTCAACTTCCCCTGAGGCTGTTTGTCAGTGCATTCATCATTTTTAACGATTGCACTTAATGCGACGCAATTTCCAGCGCCCACATGGAATAGCAATCGATTGGGATATACTAAGTACATATCAATATCTGAAGTTGAAAATTGTAAATTGCAAATATGTAAAATGTGTAATAAAATTGTTTGTAATAAAAATTACGCACAGTACATTTGTGGCCCAATGGCGATGAAATGGCCCGTGAAATCCCCCTCCGTCGGCTGGCAGGACACTTTTTTTGCCACGGCCCCTTAATATAATCCATATCCACATACCACCACATGCCCCTTCCCTTCCCGGAATCCTGTTCCGTTCTTGTTGGGGCTGCGATAACGCATCATCCACATCATCAGCATGACTGGCTGACTTTCTGATGGACACCATCGAAAAAAGCAAAAGGTACCTGCACAAAAAGTATAATTATAATGCGAAAACGGATAAGGTAAACAAATGCAAATCAAATTAAATCGAACCGTGGATATATCAGGCTCAAGAGGAAAAGGGGACTGGCGAAGTTTGTGTACTCTATGGCACTCTACAAAAAATGGTTGATTTAATTATGCAGTGGATCCTTAAGGATATAATAAATATACAAACATGCGTAGATCTAAGAGGTAAAAAAATATACATATTTTAACATAATACCATAGTTGAAGTATTAAAATATCAGGTTTTTTTTTTAATTATTGGTTATTTTAAAGGAGTGGTCCTTTTATTTTAATTCTTTATCAATTTTATTTGAATTCTTTATCAATGAATAAAAACTTAAAATGTGTTCCATATCTTATCCTTATTCGATACTAAATAAAAGTGTTATTTTTGTTAGTTTAATTGAGTTTGTAAAGAATAGAAAATTGAATGCTAAATTTAAAAATTAATAGAAAAGAGAAAGAGGTTTTAAGTATTCAGAAAATTAAAGTAAGATGCAATTTTGTATACTTAGAGTTTCTAAGAGAACTTATTTCTCCTAACAAAATGGGAACAAAAGAGCCTTTGATGATTTCCTTAAAAAACATATTTGTAGATCGACAAATGGAAAATTCTTGGCGTTCGAGAATATATGGTCTGCAACCCCGGATAAACAAGGATGCTGATGGGCGATGGCATTACAGGTCATAACTCAGGCGGCGGCGAAGACAACGGATTGCAATTACGGATGGAGACGGAGGACCAGGACAACGACCACTGCCATGCAATGGAAATGGAAATGATGAGCAGGGGCTGCGACTCCATAAAATTGTAATTAAGCGCGGCATCCGAGGCGGGGATCCAAAAGCAAGGACAAGGACAAGGACATTGCGCATTTGACACGTGTTGCTAATGTGCATGGTGATAAGGGGGCATGGGGTTAAGGGATTGGAATAGGGATTGGCATTGATATTGGGATGGGGATGGTGATGAGGATGAGGATACCGACACCTCGGAGCATCAGCCTCCCATGCAATCCAATCCAATCCAATCCAAGCCAAGCCAACCCAAGCCAACCCGATCCCCCCGTAAACCCGACGAATGCCGATGGCGTATCAACGTTTTGTCAACACATTTGCGGCAAATTGAAATGTTTGATGTGTGCGGCTTGGACTCGTCTGGCTACTGCCATGATTGATGAGCCAGATGCCCCAGCAAGGGGCATCCCCTCCTCCAGAATGCATCCAGAGGCAGCTGCAAAAACGCTCCCATCGGAAAATATACTTTTACTCATAAATTCCCATTGAGCCACTCAAAGGGTTGCACTCCCATCGATCCAGGAATTTACACGGAACAAAGAACAAAGCATCGGATATCCCCAATAATTCCAGTGCAAAAACTTGAAACAAAAATTTTAAATGGATGTATTTTGGAGAGGGTTAAAAGCTTGCATTCCGAATAATCAAACATTTTTTAGACTAAAATCCTTGTACACAGGCAAACCAAGCCTATGCAGTGAAAGAAAAAAGGCAATAAATAAATTAAAGAAAATACAATAAAATGTTTTATTCCTGCTGTCCCATTATTCAATCCAATTTTATATTCCAAAAAACTAAGTAAGAAATCAAGATTGAAATGTATAAAGTAAATGGAAGGTAAACCCTCTAACCATTATATAGGAATAATACCTTTTTCTCACTGTACAAGCACACCCAAACAAACACTTTACCCAACCACCCTCAAAATTGACTCGGATTTGTTTATCCAGTCTGACCCTTGTCCTTCCCCAGCTTTTTTCACCTGTTGTGGCCTAGAAAGTGGCCTCAAGAGGTAAAAGTTCCGAGACTTTTGGGTGGGGACAGCAATTAAAACAAACGAAAGCCTCTAATAGGAACTCACGAAAATAGAAGTCAATTGTGCCCAACGGGTAAGTAAACAAATTGTCTGCAGTTCGATGTCCGCTGTCCATTATTCGAGATTCTCGCTGTCCGCTTTTGATGTCCGCCGATCAATATATATTAGGTCATCCGATGATTAAGAGTTCTTAATACCTAATAGCGAGCTACCAAGCTTATAATTATTAATAAACTGAACCATTTAAAATGGTTTAGTAGATATGTTATTAATACAAAAAATATTTAAAGACAACATTACTAAATATAAAAATATACATATTATAAGTGATACAGCTCAAATTAAACTTTAAGCAATATATTTATGTATTTCTTAATAATTCTTACTGCCAAACTATTTTAAAACCCCCAAAAAAATTTTTTAAGGTTTTTAATTGGTTATCATTAAAATTGGCATTACAAAAGTGTTCAATTTTTTTCAAATGAGTATACAACATAGGTACAGGTAAATATTTTGTTTTATGATTTCCACCCTCACTCTTAAACGATTGGGATCTGATTTATCTGCAAACAAACTGCGCTGGGCAACATATTAAATGGATTCGGAATTGAAATAAGCGGATCTCTGTCCATTACGACATGTACTAAAAACAGCTGAGAAATTCCAAAAGTTTTATTCACTCCACGCCGTTCGACTGTTTAGATTCAAACGGATGGATGCCGAGTTCGATTTTCGGTATTGGAATGGAATTTTTATACTCACCAAAATGGGAAACATAAACAGAGCAAACCGAGAAAAGTTTTCGGCTAACAACAAAGTTGTAAACAAGAATCTGACTGGGCGGGCCCCAAAAAACAAAAGAAATAATATGAAAGAATTATAAAAACAGAACCCAGTGATAAACAGAAAAGGCTGCTCAAGTGCCCATTTGCAACGAGTTAAATATATATATATATATTTATCAGCCGGTCTATATATACACACCGACTAAATCGTGCAAATATCTGACGGAGTTTTATTTTTAAAGAGTCTGCGGAAAAGGCCAAACAAATGCAATTGGCCTGTGGGTTAATGTTAATTGTGGGACCATCCCATTCAAGGGATTCATTTGGGTGTACCACACTTAATTACTCGATGGAAATTAATCATTTCATCGCTTTTTCGGATATGTATGTAGCTTTTCCCCCGCTCCAGATCTAATGATTAGGAATGGTGGGTGGTATTTGTCAATAGAATAGTTCGGCTGTTTGAACTGCCGCTGACAGAAGCCGCAAGAGGCCCAGATACAAATGGAAATAAATGCGATGCGAAATGGTTAATGCCCATGCGTTTGCTTCTGATGGGTCAGAGGTCATGTGACACACGGACAGGGGAAGTCCCGGCGAAATTAAGCGGTTTCAGGGCTGCCTTTTTTGGTGCACTGAGACAAAAAAAATCTTAGAAATTGTTGCAAAATGAATTTAGCACAGAAGTAAAAGGGGAAACGTTGTTTTTATTTTCCAACTATTCATCATCTTAAAAGCTATGGCAAAGCAAAAAAGCTAATAGAAGGCAAATAATATTATTCATGCACTGAAAATTTTCTATAAATCCTGTTTTTTGATATAACATATGGTTATTAAAAATATTTTATAAAAATTTAATTTTAATCACTAAACAATAGCTTCAAATGTAAGGAGGTGTCTGCCAGTTTACACCACTTAATAAATATTTTTTCTCTGTGCACCTCGCGTCGGATTTGCCTTATTGCTTATATTTTCCTTCCTTTTTTATCTGTCCTTCTCAGTTAGGCTTCAATCAGGGAATTACGCTAGCCATTTTTCATTTTTCCACTTGGGAGGGTCAGAGGTCACATCACTCGCACAAACACACACACACACACGTCAACACATATGTAAATAACGTTGTTTTATCGTGTATTCCTATTTGTTTTACCAAAAAAAAAAACAGTCTGATTACTGTCCCTTTTTTTGACCTACATAGATTTAAGAGAGAAAAAAGATTGGCATAATATTAATTAGATGTGCTTTTTTTGCAGTAAATATATTCCCAAGAGAACTTTCATTTCGATTTATACTTTAGTTATTTCGTCATCTTAAAAACATATAATCGAATTTTGTTATACAATTAATTTAAAAAAAAGTTCACAACAGAAGTAAACAAAATTAAAGCCAAATAAAATTGAAATTCGTTTAAAAAAATGATTTAAGAAATGTATTAATCAAAATAACGTCACAAAAAAATATTTTTTAATTAGTTAAAGTTAATTGCTAAAATAGGGGAATGCCCCAAATGTTTCCAAGCGATATTTCGCTCACGAACTAAGTTTAACATACGATCACGTATCGATGTATCTGTATCTATGACTTAAGTCCGGCATCGATTTCACAACAACAAAAAAGTACTTGTTGCTGAACAAAAGACGTAAGCTTGTAGTTTTGTTCGAAAACATTTACATACATTTATTGGCTCTTTCAGCCAATATTGAACACCGAGAATGGAGCAGGACCACTACATGATTCTGGGATTGGCCCCGTCGGCCACCGGCGAGGATATCGTAAAGGCCTACAGGCGGATGGCCATTATTTATCACCCGGATAAGAATGGCCACCCCCAAACGGAGGAGTATTTCAAGAAGATTAAGCTGGCGTTTGAAGTTCTTTCCGACGAGGACAGAAGGGCGAAGTACGATCTCAGTTTAAGGAACCGTAATAAAAGGCCTGCCGGAACCCACAACTACCAACAAAACGATCAGGCGGAAGCCCCGGATTTTCTTCCAGCAATTTGCGCCATTGGCGGTATTTTGGTGGGTGCCTTTATGGGATTTAGTGCTTTCAGGGCTTTCAACGGATCGAACCAGAATTAAGTGCAATCGACTTCCATGCACTGAAAATATCAAAATTGTACATTGGGTGTGAGCAATAATATATACATAGTTTCGGCTACATCTCATTTAGTTATAGATCAGGCGAATTTAAACAACATCATATTGGCTTATTGATATGAAAATAGCAAAATTACAACTGTGTATATTATTTTTAAAATTCAAGGCTTGTAAAATATAAATAAGTTTTTTAATTCGAGGTGTCTTTATCAACTTATTTCTCTTTAACATTTTCAAAAACAACATCATGAAATATTCTTGATTGAAACATTTTTCACTTTACGACTGAGGAGGAATTGTCACTCCCAATTTTCTCAAAGTTAATTGTCAACTCCAGTTTAAAAAACACACAACCATTTCCTAGGACCAAATAGTGTAGACTACATTATGCTGAATCTGAGATATGCTCGGAATATATGATTCAAGTTGGACCAAAAGTTTCTAAAGTTATTTGGTGCGAAAAGTTTGCGAATGGCAAGGAAAACTTTATTGAATGCCGATTTAACTTAATTCTTTTCGATGGTTCATTGATATTGCTTTATTTTGGAAATTAATTTATTTGCTAACTTATAATAGCAAGAAAAGCTAGTTAGCTAGCGCACAAAATTCAAGTCCAGAACAGTCTTGAGGAAATAGTTAAAGAAAACCATTTTGCTTTTACTCTGACTAATGGATATTTGAGTAGTTCTAAAATTTAATAATGTTTTTTTCTTTAAACAAAAAGTTTAAATGTTTAAACATGTCGTACAGAGATTTGAGTAACTTTCTAATAAATCCAATAAAACAGAACCCAACTCTTATCGAATGCCATTCCATTTCCTTTGAAGGCTAAATGTGTACTCACTTCATTAGCGAGTTGCCTATTTTCGACAGGACCTCTGATCCCTGGGGATTACATTTCGCCACCCAAACTGGGGATTCGAATCATTCGCACTTCAATTATACGAGAGTTCCATACGCCCCCGCCCCGCCCACTGGCAATCACTTTCATTTCGGGGGATTCCCCGCCCTAGTTGTTTTTCCATTTCGGCAATCACTCAGACCGTTTCACATGTCCGATTCGGATGCGGAGCAAGATGCTCTCGCCTTTACGGCTGAACACTCCACTTCCGGGTGAACGTGCACCCTAATGAGGCATAACCGTTATGGCGGGCACTGTCATCGCCAGGCTGTCATCATTGCCGCTGCCACGGACAATTCAATTATGCGACGCCTCCGAAAAAATAGCACCACAAAATTATATGGATTACTTGATCAACTTAAAAGCTCCGCTGGACCCAATGCTCCAATGCTCCGAAACCCGATAGCGGGCCTTCAATTCATTGGCCCTCTGGACATCGGTTCATTCGGCGTCGATTAGCGTCCGCCGGATAATGATGTGGATCCGGAATGGGATCCGAGAACGTGGATGCCCATACAGATGCTGTGGAGTATTTTGGCACTCGGAGAAACAGACTCGCACTAATTAATTAACAGAGGTCCTATTAAACATACAGTTTATAGGTTTAAAACCTAGTTTGTAGTCTTTGTTATCATTTAAATATATATATTTCAAATAAAAGAACCTATTATGTTTAATGTTATCCTAAGGTTTTAAAATGCATTCAAGGAAATAAAACCATTTTTTTCAATTATGAAAATTGTTCCTCGTAGTTAAAACACTTTTTAAATAATAATCAAGAATCCCTTTAAAAATGACTACCTTTAACATTCAATTTTTAATTTTGTTTTATTTTTGAAACTAGGATCATGTTAAACGACTCTTGATAAGCTTTACAGAATTAAAAATATATTTGTTCGAGTGTGGGGCTAGGATGTAAATGGATCCGCTGAAGAGCACCCACACGCGGAGCAGTTGAAATTGTATAGCCCCTGCCCATAAATAACGATTGCTGGCCGTATTCAAATTACCTAAAAGCGAAATATCAGAGTTGGGTGTGAATGGATATATGACAATGAGGGGGAGGGGGGACCCCTCAAGCCTCCGCCCCCGAGCAGATATTGCCATATTTTCGGGGTGAACTTGGCCGCCGGCGACAAGTTCTTAAGTGGAAAATCGCTGGACCGACTTGCACTTACGTTTCACATACTCCCATAGTTTTTGTTTTTGGGTGCCTTTGGGTCATGGGAAATCGGGGAAAATGGGGGCGGGAAAATGGAGGCGGGAAACTGGAGCAAGTGGGCGGCAGCATCGCACATTTTCACTTTTCTTTTTGGCTGCCTGAGTTACAATTTGTTTTTTCCGCTTATCCGGAAATTGTCAGGTATTTTTTTAGCTTAAGCTTTGTAACTAGGATTAAGTTTTACGAAAGGTGCGCAACGTTTTTGTGTTATTTTTAGAATTAACATTGGGCCGTTGGTTAACTAGCATTTTACATTTTTCTCCTTCTTTAAAATCATGACGTAATCCCTTTGGCGCCAACAAAAAAGTTTAATTTACATTAATGAGTAGGTTTTTAAATGGCATAGAGAAAGAATTTGTGTGGTTTCTTTAAGACTTAATAAAATTATTTTTAATGGAAACATACAACATTTTACTATTATTTCTGCAGACATAGTTATACAGCATTTTAAATTAAGTGTTTGATTTTATTTGGCTGTTGGTTAATGGTTTAGAACTACGTCACATAACCGTGTTCCAAATTATATTATTATCAAATGAAACTAAAATTTATGAACGATAAAATATCAATAGAAAAAGTCATAAAAATCCTTTGAAAATAGTTTTCTTAAACAAGAAGACAGCATCATTCTTAAAACACAATACTTAATATCCCAAAAATGGCTATTATGCTCAACAAAAATGCCAACATTTAAACACAAAAACCGTACTAAATACCCCGACTAAGTAATCTGGCAGCTAAGCTACCTAATAATTACCCAAAGCAGCTTATACAAATAGTTTCTCCACAAGGATTTCGGGGCCAACATTTAATAGAACTTCAGGGGAATAAATGAGACAATCTGCGCCGCATAATTGACACATTCCACTTGTTTTTCGTGTGGTATTAAAAGGTGTGTGGTGGGAGAGGGGGGTAGGGTGAAGGGGGGCTATAGGAATAATCCGTGTGGTGGCCATGGTGCTATATGCTATATAGACTGTCTGGTCGGATTTGTCTAAGCTGCCAACGCAGTTACAACTAATAACAGAACTTTTGGGCATTCCGGCGTTGTAGGGTCAGCGCCCATTTTTCTGACCGCAGGAACCGCAAGGATCCTGGTCCACCCTAGGCCACCCTAAACCCCCCACCAGAATCACCACTATTCCCACCTCACCGGAGCTCATCCTTGGCCCAACCATTTGCAATTCATTCGGGCCCATAAATCTAAACGGCACCACGCACTTACACTTAATGACATTTTATTACAAAAATTTAACACAAACCCATCGACGGAGATAGAGATAGAAATAGATATGGCCGGCAGCGGGGAGTGGGAGCGAGCGAGAGGGCGCTAGCATCCAGTCGTTGGGGCGTCTGCTCCATTTTAATAACATAAATTAATATGCAAATTGGAACAGAATTTTAATTGAAAATCGGTTTGGTAAAAATACATTTTGGTCAGGGGGTTTTTGGTATATTTTCGAAGTGCCAAACTGTATTCATGTCAATCATCGAAATTTTGATTGGATTCCGTAGTTTCTTTGGCATAATCCAAATACTTGGCTTACTTTTAATTTTACTGCCTAAGTAATTCTCAACATTGTATCATTTTTGTATTACAATATTGATTTGTACTTATCCTTTTTTTAGATTTGTTGCAAAGAAATGTTTCTGTCAGAGAAAGCCCGTATTATTATGCACCTAGAATCCAGAAATAAAACATCTTCATGCCCTTTAAACTTTGTCAAGCACTCAGCTCTTTCCTCACATTCTGCAACTTTTCTGAGAAAAAAACTTTTGTACTTACTTCTGTTAAAAAGAATAATGTACATATCTTGTTAGTTTTACTTTTCAAATGAAGGCTTATGAATCTCTGATTTTAATCTCAGAATATATGTATAAATTATTTATAGTTTAATTGCATTTACAGGAATTTAAGCCCGCATTTATTTATTATACTCAATTAAACTTGTTTGCCAACTATCTAATGAATAGTGTTCTTAGTTTTTTTTAAATGTCTTTTCTCTTGTCTTATTTTATGTCAATTTGTATTATAACAAACCTAGTTATTATAATTCTTGTCATACCGTGTAGTCTCTGTTAAATGAATTCCCTAAAATCACACATTGTATTTAGAAATCTTCTTGATATTCCTCTTGGAATTGCCAATTATCCCACCTCACAATCTGAAAATCCCCGACACTCGCAGTTCTACAGATGGCCAATATCTTGGCCGGGTTTGTTATTTCGATTCGCGTTAAACTGCCACACAAACATTGCGGATCAAGTAGATAAAAACATATACTCATGGATAACTTGTGGGATATCTGGCATCTATAACTGCATCGATAAATATACAAGACGGGGCACTGAAAACAAAAGGGGATTGTTTATTTTTCCGGGACGTACGCATGATCGCTATTGACATCCAGGGAGTTCTCCTCACTGCCACCGTTTTATCGGGCAATAAACAATATTTAATTATAGACTTCGATGGGCACAGCACAGGAAAAAAAATAAAACTTCGCCGCACTTCGATGTGAGATCGTTCCGGGGAACCGATCCGCAGATATGTATATATCCACTGGATATGGCCGAACCGATTTTTGGTCCGCAGCGCCGCGCGTTCGCTGCCAACGATAACAAACAACTGAGCTGAAAACAGCCGAGCGCCTGCAACATGTGGCATGCGGCTTTGCCAGGTGCCCCGCCCACTTTCCACCCGGCCGCCCAGCCACCACCCACCGCACTCATTCACCGAACCGGCTGGCGATTTATGAATGAAAAGCCCAAAGCTCAGCTGAGTTCCCCAAGTTCAAGGTGAAAAGCACTCGGCGGAAAAGCGCGCCGGAAAAGCTCAGGAATGGGGAAAACAACAACTGTCCTTTCAAATCGAATCGACATTTAACTCAATTTACACATTAAATGACCAATTAATGAGGATTAAGTCCTTTAGTTGTTATTTAGTCTTTTAGTTGTGCAACTTATTTTGGACAAGTTACAAAAAAATTACGTTTAAAAAATTCGTGTTTTTGAAAAACTCCAGTCCTGATTTTTCGTCCAAAAAAATCAGTATTTTGGCCATAACACTGCAAATAGTGGTCCAATAATGGAATGTCATACCTTGTTGAGCTCGTAATTAAATTCCAAATCATATGGAATTCAAATTTGGAAATTTTTATTTTTGACCCATTTTCGGAAAAACATATGATGTAACCCCTTGTAAAAAATCCGTAAATTGGCAAAAAAAAAATTTTGACGGATAGTAATGGGGATCGTTAGATTAGGTCACTAGCTGCACAAAACAGTGTGCCTTTTCGCTGTGCGTCTAGTTTTGGGCAAGTTACAACAAAAACACTCTTAAAAAAATCGTGTTTTTGTAAAACTCCTTGTCCTGATTTTTCAAAAAAAAAAGCCTGAATTTTCGGCCAAAAATATCAGTATTTTGGCCATAACAACGAAAATAATGGTCCAATAATGGAATGTCATACCTCGTTGAGCTCGTAATTAAATTGCAAATCATCTGGCATTCAAAGCTGGAAAATTTTATTTTTGCCCCATTTTCGGAAAAAAACATGATGTTACCCCTTATGAAAAACGCGAAAATTGGCCAAAAAAAAATGTTCGTAAAAAGTGATAGGGATTGTTAGATGAGGTCACCAGCTGCACAAAACAGTGTGTCTTTTAGCTGTGCGACTTATTTTGGCCTAATTACAAACAAAATTACGTTTAAAAAATTCACTTTTTTGCAAAACTCCAAGTCCTGGTTTGTTGCACAAAAATATCAGTATATTGGCCATAATAATGAAAATATTTGTCCAATAGTCAAATGTCCTACCTCTTTGCACTCGTAATGAACTTCTAAACAAACCTGGATATTTTTATTTTTGATCCATTATAGCCAGTTACGAAGGAAAAACAGCTAGAACACTTCGTATTTTCACAAAATAAAAGGCATCCTCCTCCCTTGATAATAAAACAATTTTTCGCAATTTTGATAAATAACTTATTTAATAATAACATAATTTACAATAGAAGTAAAAGATACATAAAAGCACGATGACAAAAAAAACAAAAAAAATTGAAAAGATCCCTAAGTTAGTGTTAAGCTCAGTAGTGGTGGTAGTTGTGGCCCTGGTGCTGTTGCTGCGCCAAATTGGCCTGGGCGAAGATGTGCTCCAGTTCCGCATCGCTCAGTTGGTCGAAGATGCCTCCCTGGCTTCCGATTCCGGCACTACTGGAACTCTGGGCCGATGGCTGCGAGCCCACGGGTGGCAGATAGCCTGTATAAAAAGAAAACCGGAGAAAAAATGATTAATATTATAAATATTTGTATTATATTTCCTTAAGGTAAAAACAAGAATTCATTAACATTTATTGGACGCAATTAGATAAATAATTTATTAAGAGCAACAAATAAAGTCCAATTAAATACATTTTGAAAAACTACATTGTAGTCATTTGTATGACTTATTGAATTTTCTAAAAGTCAAGAGCTTAGAAGAAATGTTTATCTAATTTTTACAAATTACAATGTTTACAACAAAAGCAAATGAAAAACACTTTTGTACTATATTTTAAGTGTACATGTTTGTTTGTATATGAAGTTAAATACGTATAAATAAAGTGCTTTTCAATGCATTGTATGCCTTTCTTAAGAAAGATAAACAATTCATTTGAGTTGCCGTCTTCAATAGTCAATTATACTATCAAATTGAATGTAGACGAAGTAAACAAAACAAACAGAATTAATTCATTTGGATATATCAATATGAGACCGTGAAAAATGTAGATCTGATATATGAATCATAAAGATCGTCTTCTTGACAGTGAATTTCAGAAAAATTAAATTTGAAAAACGTGATCAATATATTATATGATTGGCACTAACCTTCTGCTGGCGAACTTCCGTAGGGTGGGAGCAGGGTAACCGAAGGGCGATTGGGTGACGCTGGCGCGGATGCGGTGGGTGGTTGGTAGTAGACGGGCTTCCAGGGCTGCTGCGGTGGCTGGTGGGTTGGGGGTCGCTGTGGTGGCACCTCCGCCGGGGTCTCCGCCTCCGGCGACTGGGGAATCTGCGGCGAGGCTATGCCCGATCCCGATTCCGGCTGCACGGGCGAGGATCCCGGTAGTGGGACAATTCCGCCGGGGAACTGCGACTCCGGTTGCCCGAAACTGGGTGGCTGCTGGGGCAGCGGTGGCTGGGGGGCAGCCGGGAAGAACTGGCTGGTGGGTGGACTGGGGAAGGTGGGAACCGCAGGAACCGAGGCGGGAACCGACGGAGTGGCCGGCGCCTGGGGGAACTGGGGAATCTGTGGGAACCCGGGGAACTGAGGGATCCCCGGAAATTGCGGAATTTGAGGTATGGCAGGAATCTGGGGAATCTGAGGGATCTGAGGAATCTGGGGGATCTGAGGTATGGCCGGAATCTGGGGCACTTCCGGAGCCTCGGGAGCAGCTGGAGTCGCTGGCTGGGCGGGCACAGCGGGCTGGGCGGGCACCGCTGGCTGGGCGGGCTGGAAGCTAAAGGTGGGCACTCCGGGGAACTGGGGGAACTGAGGTGCCTGCGGGAACTGAGGAGCCTGCGGGAACTGGGGGATCACGGGGAGATCCACAGCTGGGGGAGCCGGAACTCCGAAGGCCACAGTGGGTTGGACGGGCTGAACGGGTTGCACTGGGGTGACTGGCTGCAGGGGCTGAACTGGTTGAACGGGCTGGAACTGATGGGTCACAGGCTGGATGGGCTGGATTGGTTGAAGATGCTGCACCGGCTGGATAGGTTGGATTGGCTGAAAATGTTGAACCGGCTGGATAGGTTGGACAGGCTGGATGGGTTGGATGGGTTGGACAGGCTGGAGGGGCTGGATGGGTTGGATGGGTTGGATGGGTTGGATGGGTTGGACTGGCTGGACAGGCACAGCGGGAGCAGTCGGAGCATAGGCCTGCACGTAGGTGGGCTGCAAAGAAGAACGCATGAGTAAATAAAAACAAGAAAAGAAGCAAGCTTCGGCCAGCCGAAGTTATAAAAATGTAATATTTTTTATTTCTATTTGGATGCCTAAAAAAAATGGAGTTAGGTCGATTTGCCGATAAATTGGCAGCTATATGATACAAACGTCCGTTTAAAAAAAAACTAAAACCGTATTTCTGAAATTGATAGCGACCCAATAAAACAAACTAAAACAATACAGATCGGATCTCTGTATGAAAAGTTATGAGCTTAGAAGTGCAGATTTTGGTCACTTTTCTGCAAACCCATTTTTCTGAAATTTGCAAAGGGGTAACATCATTAAAAATGACGAATTATCGACCCAAAAAAAAAAAAAAAAGTGAAAACACAGATTTTTAGAGAATTAAACCACGATCATTTAGAGGTATGCCACTTTGAAATCGGATGTCTATAAGAAAAGTTATGGCCTTAGAAGTGCAGATTTTGGACACTTTCTGCAAACCCATTTTTCGGAAATTTGGAAAGGGGTAACATCATTAAAAATGACGAATTATCGACCCAAAAAAAAAAAAAAAAGTGAAAACACAGATTTTTAGAGAATTAAACCACGATCATTTAGAGGTATGCCACTTTGAAATCGGATGTCTATAAGAAAAGTTATGAGCTTAGAAGTGCAGATTTTGGACACTTTTCTGCAAACCCATTTTTCGGAAATTTGGAAAGGGGTAACATCATTAAAAATGACAAATTATCGACCCAAAAAAAAAAAAAGTGAAAACACAGATTTTTAGAGAATTAAACCACGATCATTTAGAGGTATGCCACTTTGAAATCGGATGGCTATAAGAAAAGTTATGAGCTTAGAAGTGCAGATTTTGGACACTTTTCTGCAAACCCATTTTTCGGAAATTTGGAAAGGGGTAACATCATTAAAAATGACGAATTATCGACCCAAAAAAAAAAAAAAAAACTGAAAACACAGATTTTTAGAGAATTAAACCACGATGATTTTGAAGTATGCCACTTTGAAATCGGATGTCTGTAAGAAAAGTTATGGCCTTAGAAGTGCAGTTTTTTAGCACATTTCAATAAAGCAATTTAAAAAGAAAAAGTCTATATTGACTATATACTGAAATTAAAAAAAGGATTCAATCTTATTGATTTAACATCTAATTTTTGATTTTTGAAATATTTATGTTACAATCCTAAATCGAAAAATATCTTAAACCTATTTGGACACCTTTTCTGAGTAAAGGTCAACTAATATTTTAAGAGATTGATAAGGAAACAAAAGGTATTCGACTCACCTGCACGGCGTGGACATGGGCGTGGGCGGGGGCGTGGAAATGCAGCGGCTTCACGGCGGACTGGAAGACCACGGGCTTCTGCAGGTGCTGGTGCGGATAGTTGACGCTGTACGAGGAGACGAGGGCGTTGCCGGGTCGCAGGACGTACGAGGGCGGGGCCACTCCGCCGGCGAGGGCGGTGGCCACGCCGGTGGACAGAGCGGTGGCCACTCCGGCGGGAATGGCGCTGGCCACTCCAGCGGGCAGGCCAGTGGGCAGTCCGACGGGCAGCCCGGTGGGCAATCCCACGGGCAGGGCTGTGGCCACGGCGGGCAGCAGGGGAGCGGGGGCGGGGGCCGGAGCAAGGGCAGGCAGCAAACCGGAGGCGGAAACCAGGGGCTTCACCAGACCATGTCCGTACTTCACGAAGTGGCGATGTGGCGGAGCGGCGGCCAGGAAGGCACTGCCGCCGGGCAACTGCAGGCTGTAGCCGTAGTGGGAGGCATATGTGCGGGCCGGCCATTGGCCGTGCAGTTGGTGGGCGTGGCCATGCAAAATGCCCCTCTTGTGTTTGCCCGTCGTGACTTCCGGTTCCGGTTGGGGTTCGGTAACTTCGACGGCAGTGGTGGCAACCTTCTCCTCAGCGGCTTGTGGTGGCGCCTCCTCCTCCGAGGTCACCGTCACGGTGGGCGTAGTGCTGGCGGGGGGCGTGGCCGATCGGCTGGTGTGGCGCAGACGTAAGCCCGCCTCGGCTCCATGAAAAACCAAGATGACGGCCAAAAACACCAGAAGATGCAGGCTCCTCCTCGAACTGGTCAACAGATTCATTTTGTTTCGGTGGATTGGTTTCTGTTTTTTTATAGAATGGCGTGCACTAAATGTTGTTTCGCGATTAATCCGTTTGCTGCGATCGCCGCCAAGAAAATGAAATGAACTTCCTTGGTCGCTGTTGTATTTATAAAGCGGACATCGGACATCGCGGCACAGTGGCCATCGTCGGCGAAGCACCCACTGTGCATACCAATCGGCCAGCAATGCACTGCAGATTGCGGCTCATCGGCATGGAGTACGGCGATTGGGCAGTTTATGACTTTTACGCTGCCATTTCACTTGCCGCAATCGAAGGGCCCCACCAACCGCTCACCCACTACCCACCACCCACTGCCCACCACCCCCTGCTCCTCCTCATCCACCCACCGAAGGCGTCACCTCATTATGCTAAACCCTCCGACCACGCACTGTGGTTCCGCTTATCAATCCATTAACCATTGTGAATTTACTAGTTTAAAGAATAAACCAGCATTCGACCACTATTTCCCTGACTTTTTATTAAAAAACCGAAAAAATGAGTTGATTTTTTCGGATTTTGGACAAAATAATTTTCATAAGGGGTAACCTCATGATTTTTTTTCAAAAAATACCATTTATTAGCTTTGAACGCCACGTTATTAGAAAGTTTATAACGAATTCAACAAGGTATGAAATTCCAACATACGACCACTATTTCCCATAGTTTTTATTAGAAAAAAAAACGAAATTATTGATTTGTTTTTCTGGATTTCGGTCAAAATGTGTTTCAGAAAAATTGTTGTTACTTTACTTTCCTTTATTCCATCATTCACCACAAACCTTTTCATTAAAAAAAAAATTATATGAAAACCAAGCGGTTTGTTGATTCATAACTGCTGATTAGGATTCTATTATTTTGTTTATAAATTATTAATTACCACTGTTCCCATTGGCCGGAATCCACCTACGCATGCGCCACACGTTTCCTCACGCACAAAACTTTTGCTTTCAATGGCCTGTATGTTCCGCATGTTTTTCTTTTTTTTTGTTTTTATCGCCGGGCTCTTTTCACTTTCGGCTGCCGGAGATGGGCCGAAGGTTTATGATTTGGCTGCAATTTAGATACATATCAAAAGTGTCCGCTTACATAACCCGTAATACCCAAGATGGGGCCATTGAATCCGCTCTAATCAGGCGCCGGGTGAAAGCATAATTGTAATAAAAGCAAGCCAAACAATTGACAATTACCAATTAGCATGGCACGGTCAATTATTTTGATGGCATTTCAATGCTTTTATTTGAATTTCGTTAAAATTCAGCATTCACACGCATAAATTTCACCTGCACTAAATCTGAAGTCGACTGGGCCAGGTGAACCCATAGATAGTGCTGCATTATATCACACACTAACCGTAAATGGACTTTCGATTAGCCTACATTGATTTTCACTTTTTTTGGAAATTGCCTGTAGAGCGTTTGGAATTTCAATCGATTCGCTCGCATACCACCGCCACCTGGTACAGTTCGGTTTTTGGGTTAGCAGCATATCGCTTGGGGGCATCTAAGTGGGTCTGGCACAGTCCTCAAGGTCTTTCCCAGGCCTTGCCGCCGGAGATGTCATCAATTTTTGTTGGTTTTTGGCACATGTAATACATATATTTGACAAAGAGCCACATAAACCTCAAAATGTAAACACACAGAAATAAAAGCCGCCAGAGTAGCTTGTTCAATTCGATGCTTTATGACCTGTCCGACGTGAGCAGCATGGGGAAATGTGAACATACAAAGGAGGTAAGCCCCACCGGGTTGTTTCTAAATCGCTTACAACAGAAGTCGCACGGAGATCTCACAGCTTGAAGCCGGAGTGAATGCTGACGACGCCGAAGGTGAGGTTCTCGTAGGACACCTGGTCGAAACCCGCCTGCTCGATCATCTGCTTGAACTGCTCCTGCTTGGGGAACCGCCGGATGCTCTCCACCAGATATTGGTACGCCTGCCACTGGCCGGCCAGCAGTTGGCCCATCGGCGGTATCACCTGGAAGGAGTACTGGTCATACAGCCACTGCATCGTCTCGTTCGTCAGGTGGCTGAACTCCAGGCACATGAAGCGGCCGCCCGGCTGCAGCACACGATACGCCTCGGAAATAACCTAAAATGAAAAATAAGATATGTAGATTTCATTCACGTCTTTAAAAAGTGCTATTATTTATGGGTCGCAACAATTTCCTTTCATTTTATAGGTTCATAAGAAAATTGTTTTACTCATAGACTAGTTCTTTATAAAATATATAGATTTCTTTTAAACTTGATATGCAATTTCAAGCTTTTTACTATAATAGGTAAAATATATTCCCTAAAGCCCGATCCCATTGGGAAGTTGCTCCGTACCTTGTCCACATGCGTGCAGTTCCTGATGCCGAAGGCAATGGTGTAGGCGCTGAAGCTCTCGTCCTGGAAAGGCAGCTTCTCGGCATCGGCACACTGCCAGGCGACGGTGGAGTTGGGCAGTTTGTCGGTGGTCAGGCCCAGCCGCTTGGCCCGCTCCTCGCCGACGTCCAGCATGTGCTGGTTGATGTCCGAGACGGTGACATGGCTGGCGCGATTCTGGGGATTCGGTTGGTTGGCCAGGTAACGTAGGTAGCGGAAGGTAATGTCCCCGGTGCCGCCGGCCATGTCCAGGAGGCGCATCCCATGCTGAGGACCCAGTCGCTCCACGAACACATCCTTCCACACGCGATGGATGCCCAGGGACATGGCATCGTTCATCATATCATAAGAGTTGGCCACCTGTTCGAAGACCTCGTGCACTGGAAGGGGGGGAACATGATTCATGGGTTCCTCCTTCTATAGTCATTCCTGGCTACTCACCCTTTTGCTCCTTCTCGCTTTCCCTGACCGTTTGGAAACCGAAATGCGTGGTTTCCTCCGATCCGGTAGTGGATTCCGCTCCTTTTGGCCTTTCCGCTTCGGATCCTGTGGATTCACGGGCGGATTGCGCCACCGTCCGCATGTGAACGAATCTCCTGGCCAGTGACAGCAGGCGGGTGCTCCTTGTGCCTTGCATTTTGTCGATCCTTGAAGCTTTTTCTTAATAGTATATTATGAAATAACAAAAACACGAAACAGCCGGTTAGGGATGGAATTTACGCAGCCATATGTTGAACCTATCGATTTTTAGAATCATTTTCGCAGATTCGTTGGGGGCTCTCATGTCTCTGATTTCGATATTTCTCGTATGCCGCACTTGCCGCCTAATTTAAATTTGTATATAAATCAAAAAAGGATTGTTTTTTTGATATCCAAGATATTTAAATATCACATCGGGATATTTATTGTTCAGATAAATTCTTCGATTTCTAAATGCTTGTCGTGTCTTGTTTTGTTTATTTTAAATCTAAATAAACTATAAAATATATTAGAGGTATCGGCTATACACAAACATAACTTTGAGCGTAGCCACAAATGTTGTATTTTTTGTAAATTAAGGTTTTGCATAAATAATTCATTACATATTTCATTTCCGTCTGATCCCGAAGTCCAATCCAAATTTTTATCATTTCCTTCCGATTCGTTTTAGTTAAATTAATACCTTTGTTCCTGAGTAGTAGTAGTAGTAGTCCTTTTGGCGGTGGTCCTTAAACACAATATTATTCTGCAAAACCACTAGAAACCATTTTAAACAACAACTTTCTTTTTATCCGCACATTTATATTTATTAATTGTACGTATGCGTGCACAAATCATTCACATGAGTTTTTAGCGAACATTTTTCTGTCGCCACCTCCTATCTGTTCTTCAGATGCCTCTCAATGTCTGTTGGCTTTACTTAAGTTTAGTCATTACAAGTTAATACCTAATTACAAACAGCAGTTTGATAAAAAAAAAATGCCTTAGCTTGGGGGTTTTTGTTTTGCTGCGCTGCGCTGCAGCCATCGAAATAATCTTAAGAATGTTACATTAAAAACAATTAAAAAACGTATTTATATATATAATAATAATAATAGTAATAGTAATAAATAGTTTACAAAATGTGGCGGTTTATTGTGTGTAAACGTAAGCGTTAACTTAAACCGTAATTAAAATTAATCTTTAAATCATTGAGAAAGTCCATTTATAAGCGTTTTCATTTCGTTCTCTATATATCTTTTTATCTTTCCGTTGCGCGGGTGTCTGTATGTGAGTGAGTGGGTTTTATGAGCTATGACGAGCCAAAGTCTGATTCTATCATGGATGTGTGGTATGTACGTGCGTTTGGGTTGTACATAGTTAAGTCTATTTAAAATTAAGACAAAAAAAAAATATTTGTTACTCAAGCGTTTGCTGCTGTCCTGGAGCCTTAATTCATGTCCTTCTACACATACGCTATGTATTTAAGTTTATTTATAGTATTATTTATATATATATTACGACAGAGCCTATCTTGCTGCTCAATCTCCCTAACATCCGTTGTGGATTTAAATATTGCTTGGCCTCGGGTTGGAAGATACGGGGGGATAGCGGTCTCAAAAATGAAGCCATAACAAAATCACACAACTGCAACACTGTGTCGCCCCACACTTAGTAGTTAAACTCTTCCTGCTTCTCCGAATCGCTGCGCAGATCGGCCATCAACGGTTCGAAGCAGGACTTGGGTATCATGGTGCCCACAATCTTCTCGCCCTCGGTTGTCTTCATGCGTATCACTTGCATCTTGCTGTTGGAACGTGTATTCAGTATGTGCTCCACGCGTCCCCAAACGGAGAGCACGGATCCCGCCAGTACGTGGTACAAACGCTGACGCAGTCCCACCTGAAAGGGGAAGAGGAAAATGTGGTTAGGATTGGTTCTTCGAAGAAATCTGAATTCCGTGCAGCAAGGATTCCTGCACTCACTCACCTCACAGTCGTTGCCCAGGCTCACGTTCCTACAGTTGCCGTTCCAGTAGGCGTGCGAGCAGGTATTCACCGACGCATCGTACTGCTCCGTCCAGTGCGGCTCCGCTTCCTCGCTGGCCACCTTGCGGTACTTCTTCTCCAGCTCGAAAAGCGACTCGTGGCGCACCTGGAGACCGGTGTTCGGTCGGTATATCTGGCACATGATCTCCTTTTTGCTGCGCGACTTCTTTTTCTTGCCGCCATTGTCCGAATCGGTGGTGCTGCTCGTCGAGCTACTGTTGCGCGGTGGCTGCTGCTCCAGGATCACCACCATAATGGCGGTTCGCTTCTGGTTGCGCAGCTGGTGGGACAGGTAGAAGCCCTCGTTGTCGTTGAACAGATCGGCATATCTGCGTATGGATAAAGATCAGTTTAAATGATAAAAAATGCATATTTTGTTATATTTCTTTACGTACTTATCAATGGCCTCCTGCCAGATCATGCCACGCTCCACTCGAACCGTGTGCATTTCTGTGGGCGCCACTCCAGTGGCATGTTTGCGCACAAACCGGATAAGCCGGCAACGGGTCACGTTCTCGCCGGCAGCTCCCAGATCTAGTGGATTAAAATACATTGTAATAACTTGCACCGATTAAATGACCCCCTCTCTCATCCGCACTCACCCACAATGCCCAGGTCGAACCGACCGCCGCGCTTAGCCTGCTGGATGATTGCCGTCATGGTGTCCGTAAAGTACTTGAACAACCGATTCTGCAGATCAACCGGACAGCCGAGGATGCGATTGAGAAACTTTGATATGTTATTATAGTCCTTGTCGAGACTCAGCACACCCGGATTGCTCTCGCTGTTCACGATTATGCCCACACCGACCAGGGCTCCGGCGATGTCCTTGAAGAACTCTCCGCTGTAATCCGTCGGCGGTGGCACCAGTGGCGATTCGTAGCCCATTATGGTACGCATCACCGTTTCTAGGGCCTGTCGTCCGTACTTGTTGTCAATATTGAACTGGGAGAGATCACGAGTCTCCGTGGCCCTGCGATCGCCGTGGGTGAGCGCTCCCAACGATTCCAGGCGCTTGGCCACGGTGGAGGCGAAACGTCTTTCACCAGCCAGATCCGAGATGAGAAAGATGTATTCGGGCGCGTTCACCTGATCATAAATAAATTATTATCATAAGAAAATTATTAGATATATATATATATATATATATTAAACTGACCTGATTGGATCGATGGGTACGTCCAAACTGCTGGATGGCTCTGTCGGCTGACCAGGGTAACTCCAAGGTGATGTGGACTCGTCGGCGCTGGTTAAAGACCCGCCGATCACTCTGCAGGGAAATACCACTGGACGCCGCCTCCGAGATGATGGCCACATCCTTCTGGCCGTCCATGAAGCGCTGCTTCTCTGTGATATTCAGCGTTTCCAGCGGGACATCCGATTCGGTTCTGGACTCGTATTGGATGTTGCCCTCATCGTTTTGCACTACGCGACCCCGTCGACCCGTCATCTCGGCCACGTTATCGGGACCGCCCAGTTCGTCGATCAGTTGATCCAAGGTGTTCGGCGGGAGTCGAGAGCCCAGACGCTCGATCTTGCGCAGCAGCTCCTCCTTCATCGTGCAGGCTCGTTCGATGGCGTCTTTGGGCGGAGGACCGTAGTTCAGCTTAACACCATTCACGCCCACCGGCGTGACAGTGCCCTTGAGCTCCTGCTTCTTCTGCAGCAGGTCCTGGATCTTGTCCTGCGTGGAGAGCTGAGATTTGCGGGTCTTGGCCGCATTCAGAGCGGCAACCACGGTGGCGGACATGGCCGTACTGCCACTGGGATCGGTGGTGCCTGAATTGGCTGCCGATGAGGATGCCTCTTTTTTGGGCTTCTCCTTCTTCACCTTTTTCTTGGTTTTCTTCTGGGTCTTCTTGGTGGATTTCTTGCTGCGCGCATTTACCCAGGGATCGATGTCGCTATCGCTGCCGCTGAAGAAGGGATTGAAATCGGAGCTGGCATCGCTGGCCACGCTTCGCCGATCGCTGTCCACGTCGTGATCTTCATCGTCCTCATCCTCGTCATCCAGATCACTGCGGAACTCATCATCACTATTCGCCTCGTCGCTGTCGCTGTTAGAGTTGCCAGCATCCCGCTTTCGATTGCGTTTTCTTCCCGCATCGTCATCGTCGCTATCGCTGTATTGCCAGGATCCACTGCGCTTCTTCTTCTTGGACTTGCCGCCCGTGGAGGATCCATTATCACTGTTGCCAGCTCCCTTTCGTTTGGCAGCCGCAGTGGTGTTATTATTATTGTTGCCCAAGCTGGAGGTGGAATCGGCGATGGATAACTGAGAGGGCGTCTCATCGTAGAGACCTAGGATGCGATTGATGCGATTGCGATCGGGAGCCGGAAAATGGCGCTCCACAAACGACTGAAAGACACCTCTGTGAAATAAGATTAATGATGAGTATTTAATAAATTTAAAGGAATTAGTGAGAGCCACTTACTTAGCCGTAGAGACAAAATCGGTGAGCTCGCCGTCGTCCCGCTCCAGCTGATCCAAAGTGCGAGCCTCGCCGGTGGACTGCAGACCGATGACCACACACTTGCCGTACTTGATGGACTCGCGGGCCACCAGCACCGCATGGTTCACCTTGGCGGCGATGCAAAGGTACTTGAAGAAGCGCTGATGCGATGACCAGAACTGGCCCCACATCGTCTTCTTCATGCGGCTCTCGGCATCGATCAGTTCGGCCGCCTCGGTGAACTTCTGCATGGCCTCCACCCACAGCTCCACGGACTGATCGTAGATCTTGCGGAACTCCTTGGAGAGTGGGACCTCCTCGATCTTGAAGCTGACGCCCTTGAAGCTCAACTGGCGCGCAATATACATGCCGCGCAGTTTCATATCCATAGCCACGATCTCCATGGCACCCACACCTCTGAAAATGATTTGTTAAGTATAAGTAAAGGAATATAGGATTATTTGCGAAGTAGGCTCACCGTCTCTCCACGGCCGTGATGAAATCGTTAAAGTTGCCAAAGGCCGTGCCCTGTCCCCAGAGACCCAGACGCACCATGTACGCCATGTTCTTGGGCTCGGAAGCACCCGTTGCGGATGCATACACCACTCGCGCCTTGGGCAACTTCTGCTGCAGCTCCAGCACGGTCTGGCCCGTCTTCGTTGGCTTGCCGGAACCCACGGGACACAGATTCTTGGCCTTGTGACACTCGTCGAAGATGATGAGACCCTCGAAATCCTCGCCGCACCACTGCAGCAGCTGGCGGAATCGCGATCGGTACTTGCCCGTCTTGTTGTTGGACTCACCGATCAAAGCGGAATACGTGCTGAAGATCACGCCCCGCTTGCAGTTGTTGTTCACATCAGAGCTGATCTTGGCGTACTTGAACTAAGGAGATCGAAAGTATTAGCAAAAGTGTTGCCTTCGTTAAAGTAGATACCCACCTTGTTGAGGGCATGGACATCGATCCGCGTGGCTCCAATGTCGCTGAGATCACGCTCGGCATCGTACTTGAGATCGTTGGACACGGATATCCACAGCGCCTTCTTGCGCCCCTTCAGATAGTTCTCGTAGATGATGCCGGCGATGGTGCGACCCTTGCCCACACCGGCGCCATCTCCGATCAGGAATCCAGCCCGACTTCCGTCCGGAAGCAGGTGATCGTGCGCCTGGGAGGCGTACGTGATGGACTCCAATTGCAGGGCGCTGAGATGTCCGCTGTTTATTGTCTCGAGGGGCAGGGACAGCTTGTAGTACACATCGCAGGGCTCCACGGAACTCAGCGAGGCCGTCTCCACGACGGCATCCGGATGCTTCTTGCCCAGTTTCACTGTTGGTTGTGGGAAAACGCATTCATTAACGTATTTTATGGATAATAACTTGATTTAGAACTCACATTTGGCGGGCCAGTAGTCGGCATAGGTCTCGGCCACGCCCATCTCCTCGTAGTCGACCTCGTCCTCCTCCTGCTGGACATAGGCAGCCGCTGAGGCCTGGGCCGCAGCTTGCGCTGCCGCCGCTGCAGCAGCACTGGCCGCCATAAAACCGGAATTCACCGGTTGCATGGGCGCCGGATTCGTGGGCGGACGTTGCATCGATTGCATGAACAGCTGGAACACATTGTTCGGTATACCGCTGGTCAGGTATTCCGGATTCATGGCGATTAGCTTCTGCACGGCCTCCATCATCGAGTTGTTGCCCTTGACCCCGGAGGCTGCGGTTGCTCCGCCAGCAGATCCTCCGCCTCCAGCGCTCCCGGCGGATGTGGCCACCGATGGCTTCTGGCTGTTCCCCATTGCGCCAGCCACCTTAAAAGGGCGAATGGGTGGTACTCCGCCCGCATAACTCACTGCAAGGTAAAGGGATTCGGGTTGGTTCCGGTTTATGCGGTCGGTTGTTGTTGTTCGGATTATGATGTAGTAAATTAAAGTACATGACACCGAGGTGAGTGAGAGGTGCGTATGAGGAAAGACATCAAATGGAAAGAGACAGAGGAACAGAGGGAGATGGGGAGAAAGAAAGAGAGAGCTTTGTTAGTTAGTAATTAACAAGGATGGCATTATTTACTTGTCAAGTGTTGCTAACTACTGAGGCAACTTGCCCTACAGATCTAGTTCACAAAAAGGAAAAATCCCCTTTCTACCAACAATTAACAAACATTCACACATCAACCAATGACCAATCAACCAGACTACTACAAAACTGTACTTTTAATTTATATTTAAATTTATTAATATCCCTATCCTGTTTTTGTTTCGATGAGAGATTTCTGATACAGATTATACCACACGATTAAAAAACCTTGAAAATGTACAATTTCCCACCAAAACAAGCTAGACATTTTATTTATTTAATTTTGGCGAGCTTCGAGAACGGGACACAACTAGCACTATCCCACACAATCGACCAGTTCAAAGCGACTGGAGATTATCGTCAGTCGGAAAAAGGGGGTGGATCGATTGGCAGATGGACTTTTCCAGCGGGATGCCTAGATGCTCGTTGGTAACGCGGCCAGTAGCGATTGTTTCGGTTCAAGTGCAGGGAGAACAGCGACTTCTTCAGCATCACCAGATTGACCTCGAACTGGATTCGCTCGCGGTCTTTGAAAATGCGGCTCGCCTGGCAATCCAGTTGAGAACAACTGGGGTGCCTTTTGGAGCGCTTGCGATGGCGTGCCACTGGCTGAACGGTACAGCAGGGATTCTGGAAGATCACGTCTGTACTGCGGCGCTCTACATCCGGATTTTCAATTTCAGGGGCCTGCGGCCTAGCCACCTGAAAGTCATCCGTCGGATGCAGGAACACTGGCTTGAGGCGTTTCAGCACCTTTCGCACCAGTACGGCAATCTCCCGAAGATCCCCAGGGGAAAGAGAGTCTACTTTGTTCAGCAAATGCTTCTGTATTAGGCGCTCCAGCCTCATCAGAGCCTTCGAGTGGATGCTGAAGAAATCATTCATGGCCTCGGCCACTTTCAAGTTGATCATTTGCTGGACTTCGTCCCAATTTGGATGGTCCAAAGGTTTGGGTTCCGCCTGGGGCGCTGTCCCATCACCATTGCACATCGTTCTATTCTTCTTCTTTAAGCTTAAGCTGTCCATCAAACAATTGCACTCAAAATTTTGAATAGGTACCCAAGCACACGATTTTACAAAAGTAATATGTTAAAGCTTTGTTGGATTTTTAAAATTTTTTCTGTTTTTCTGTTTTTTTTAGATATTTTTACTTCGAAATACCTTTACGAAATGATATTACGAAATGATTGCTTTTAGAGGTCGTCAGAGGGAAAATAATAGGCCTACTGTTTTACAATTTTTCTACTCACTATAGAAATCATAACCAAACAGGCTATTGAAATCTATTTATTATTTTCCGAGTAAACTCATATCTTGTAAATTCGATTGGGTTTGTGATTTTACCTCTATAACCATATCATATAGACATTTTTCATTAACAGACAACCATATTTCACACATTTTTTATGCACGCAAACAAAACAAAAACTCATTTTTCTTGGTTGTTACCAACATTAATCGACTTACTCTGCGCCAATAAAGACGCGGCCATATTGAAATTAGCAGCAGAGGCTGAAGTCGACGCCGCCGATCCGCTAAAGAAATTGCCACCGGGATTACCGCCTGGTGGAGAACTCCGCACCGAATTGGCGGCCGTGGACGGCGGCGGGGGCGGTGGGGCGTTGCTACCCTTGGCGGCCACGTAGGCGGCCAGGTTCATCAGTTCGTTGGTGCTGAGGCTGTTTAAATAGCTGCTGGTGGACCCAACGCCCCCACCAGCCGACCCAGCCGCATTGCCGGTGCTCCTGGCGGCCGGACTGCCCATAGCTAATGGACCGCGATGTCCAGGAGATGGGATAAATCACAAAACAAAAATCCAACGAACAAAACAAATATCCACCAAACAAATGAAAAATTAAGCGAACCAAAACAAACAAAATTCACAAAAACAGAACGGAGTAAACCATACAAAATGAGTTTGGCAATTATATTTTGGGTGGTGGGATATGTCGGGAAAAACCAAGAAAGCAAATTATGTTTGTTTAAGAGAAGAAATAGAGAAAGATAAAGGAAGAGAATAGCACAAGCGGCATTAATAAGTGTGATTACAGCAATGTCTATAGTGTCAGTGTTGCCAAATTAAAGTTATTCCCTGCTTAATATTATTAATTGACATCTAAACCAACTTCTTAATGGGTCGTTTTCTTGTATTTTAAAATGTTATTTACTTAAAACCCAATACTAAAAAAAAACATTGAAAAGTTCTAAGCTGTTAGATTTGGGTTCTTTTTTAAATATACATCAAGGAATTTAAAAAATGTTTTTCGGAATGAATTCTATGATTTTTAAGCGAAAATATATATGCGATATATGTATTTAAAATATTTAAAAACAGTTTGTAAGGATTTGGATTTAATTTGAGGTTAAACCACGACATTAAATTAAAAATTAATTAAATTTGAATGTTCTTTGTTTTTTAACAGTGTTTTTCATTATATATTGAACTTGATTCTTAGAACTGAAGATAAGTACATCGCACATGTTATAAAACATTTTATATATTTTGTTTCCCAAGAGAATTCAATTTTAATTAAATGCTGAACAATGTTATCAGTTTTTCTCTACGCATTTGTGTATGTGTGTGTGTGTGTAAGTGGGAGTGTGCGTGTGTGTTGTGGAATTTTATTTTTTATTAAATTACACTTACCCGTTATCGTGTTATTCAGTTTCTTTGGCATATTGTTTAAATTATTCTCTACTGCTACTTTTCTGGTTATTATCGGTATCGCTGTGATCTTTCCGCCCAGTGCCACGCCTCCAACCGTTGACGCAGCGCCCGCCCCTGTTGTTGCTGTTGTTATTATCTGGCGCACAGCGGTATTGTTGCCGTTGCTATTGTTGTTGATGCCACTGGCGATAATGTTGTTATTGTTATTGTTGTTGATGCGCAACAGCGATATTGGCTTGATATTATTTTTGCTTAAAACAATTTTGGCGCCACTAATGGGTATGGGTGTACCGCCCTTGGTCACCACGCCCACTCCGCTACGGATATTTTGGGCGTACGTAACAGCAGTATTTAGATCGCGACCACCACCTAAAAATGGATATGGAAAGTTTTATTAAGTTTTTTGATGAATATTGCACGATATAAAATATATTTTTTTCTTTCTATCTTTTATCTGTTTACAGTATTTAGTATACAAATTTACAAAATCGCATAACGAAATATCTATCTTCAACATCGATGTTGAGTAAAGTTTATTATATAAATTAAATCTCTAGTTGTAACGATAAAAGGAAAACATAAATATGCATGGGTTCCAAAGTAAATTATTTTAAATATAACTATTCTTTAATCAAATTGAATAATCAAATAAACAAAAACCTATGAATATTCTTTTATATGCAAAATAAGCACATTCTCCAATCTTAAAATATGTTAATTGGGTTTCCTAAAACAACAGACACTTGACATTAACACGGTTAGTTAATCAAAAAACAGCAGCACTATCATTGCCAAAATACAAACTTGTTTGAGATGCTCATCTAGCAACAAAAAAAAAATATAAATAAACCAACCAGGTATATGTTCGAACTTATACGTCACCCGTAATTGTTGCTGCTGATTTGATTTCGAATCATTAATGGTGCTGTCTCTTTTTCCTCGAAAGCACGTGATTCCCCCGTTTGCCTATTTCTGTGTGCGAATATTTGATGAAATTTGCACACATTAGCCCCCACAATTGCCACAAGCCTTTGATATAAATCGAAGGCCTCTCAGAATCCCCATTTCCGCTGCACAAATTGCAGACATTCCCAGTCCACGAGCACGGCACCACCCTCATTTAAGGTAAATATCTAATTAATGAGCAAAGACAAGAGTACATAGATGGACCTAAGTATGTGCAATGCTATAATGCTATGTACTGGATACTGGCAGCACATTAAGGGGAAAGGTCATGTGGCTGATACATAATCATAATTATATGTGCAGAAAGGCACACACGGCCAAATATTCTCACATATCTGTCTATATACTGGATGTGTAAGGAAATCGTAGTGCGTAATGCGTTAATGCCTGTAATTTCCCGCACCACCCACCAGATGAACGTCGCGGTCAAGATGATGGCTACAAATCACATTCGGTATGCCTGGGCCACCACAAATGTTCAAGACTCCTGGCATTCTCACGAAAAGCGCAATATGCCTGTGTACCTATGAATCAACAAATGACCAAGCGAAAGATATAACCAAAAGGAGTTGGCAACCATATATATGATAATTATATGATAGGGATTGAACAACATATTGTCCTCACAGCAATCACAAGATGCGAAATACATCAAAGTAATTATAAAAATAAGGGATTGATATATTTACATTTCAGACATTAACTACAAGAATTCACAATATTAAATCCAATCAGTTTGTTTATAACAACAATAAATCATAATAAACTGGTGCAAGGTTCATTAAATGTTCACTCAATTTAAACTTAATTAATAAATAAGACTATAAATCTGTTAATGCACTTGGTACCATTTTAATATGAATGGAAATGATCGTATTATACTTTGTTTTGGCAGTATGAATGTAAACTAAAAATGAGTCATATTTTTCAATAAAAAAAGTGATTAAAAGAAAAACTACTTGTTAAATAGTTTAATTTCAAATTTGCTCCACGAGCTCAATACAATTTTTCAAGTACCAACAATTCAAGAGGCTATTAAAAAGCAATTTTCTATTCAATTATTAAGTATGGATTTATTATTCTCACAGTTTGCACACCTGTCAGTAAACTCGTACCCGACCGCCTTTTTCACACTCGCGAAACCTTCGAAAGGAACTTCAAGTTGCACAAGCCCGTCAGAGATATTGCTTTCTAAATAATTGACGATATTATTTCAGTTTTTTTCAAGGACTTCATAACTTGGCCCCTCGATTGTTGACGAACTTATGGGGAATGGTAATGGAGTTTAATAATTGAACGCGAGATGTCCAGTCCACGGTTAATGACGCTCGGAACCACTGGCTCCTCCTAGATATAGCCAACTTATATATGGCCATAAAATCGGGGTTATGTGCCGAGGAACCCCCTACGCATTATATATGTGACGCACAATAACGGAAATATAAGCACATATGTGCGCATATATAATTCCCATATAGCGTTATATATATATATATATACCGATATCTAGCAGATCTGAAGCAAACAGAGCTCAAAGCTTTGAGCAAAGACATCCTTCGGGCTCTGGACAGGTGTGCATCCGTCTCAGGCGGAATGGGAAGGTAATTCCATTAATGTTTCAGTGACTAATGCAAGTGGCCTTTTAATTAATGTTGGCTAGATAGCAAATCAATTGCACGGGTGGGCTGACCATCAAAGGATGGGCGAGGGATTTCACAGCCAAATTGGCATAACTCATTAGGGGCATTTGGGGCATAAAGGCATGTTGGTGTGCCTACAAAAGCAGTGGTCCGTGCGGAAGTCCTTTGATTTATTGTTTATCTATTTACCAGATTGCCTGATGTAATTGAAAATAGTTTTCTTGGTAAGAGAACTACTTATAAATTGATTGAATAACTTGTTGATTTAGTTATATAACACGGTTATGTACAAGATTTATATCTTGTAAGTATTAAATAAAATATGAATAAAAGTAAAGATTTAAGAACAGTAGTTTTACAAAATAGTTCTGAAATTAGCGTTATTCGGAATACTATATTTTATATTAGATTGCTTCAGACACATTAATAACAGATTTCAATTACATATCTTGTTACTTATTGTGTAACTATATAAACATAAAGTTCCTGCGACAAGATATGTGAGAAAGTGCTATAGATTCGTTGTGAGTATCATAAACATTTTATAAACTCAAATGAAATATTTATCTTAAAATGAGCATTGCGTTTGTACACGAGGAACTTCACTTGATCCGTACAGTTGATTGAAATGCCAACCGAATAAGTTGCAGCCTGGTAACGGAACTCCACACAACCCACCCGCCCAATTGCCTGCTTTCAGCTCAATCCCTCAACCCCTTCACCCTTCAGTTTACCACCCGTTTTCCTCCCCCTTTTGAACAAAATCCCTCCGTCCGAGAGGACAAAAAACTATCCCATAAAGTTCCCACTCGGCTCTGAAACTGCAGCCAGTATGGAAGTAAAGCCCACCCGGATCCTAGTCAGTCCACAGTCCACAGCCCACGTCTCACTTCCCCACAACAATGGGGCTACCTATAAAATTGTTGTCTAAACAATAGAGAACAGAGTGCCGTGGTGCTGCCATTGCCCTCCCACTTTTCAGCCTTCAGCCAAATCCCTTTCAAAACGAACCCACTTCTCAGCATTTATTGCAGGCGAAAATCCTTAGCCCAAGCATAAGCTTCAGGTTTAAAGCATCAAAAATGATATGCAAAATGCCACTACTCACCGGGTACTTCTATTTGATCTGGATCCTCGTCATCATCAAAATCGGAGCCCGAATCGTCCTCATCAAAATTATCATCGTCGTCATCGGCGTCCAACAGGGTTTTGCGTTTTTTCGATGTCTGTAAAGAATTCATTTTAAGGAAATATTTGGCTTATAAATGGCTTTGCTTAGATGAATAGTTTTTCAATGAAACAAAAACTATATAAATATGTAAGTTTACAATCTTCAGAGGCTTGACACTGAATATTTTAGAGAAATATTTGCTCTCTTCACAGTATTTGTACTTATTTAAGAAAATAAGAAATCTCAAATAGAATATTTGGTTAAAAATACTCTATTCCTAATTTTAAAAAATATTATTAAGCTCTTTAAAAAATACTTTTTATTCTGTTTGTCGACGACAATTTCCCAATTTCTTTTAGTGCACCAGTAAAACACATCGCGAATGAAAATCGATACTTTTATAGTTTCTTAGTTCTCAAATATGACGCGAACACTCGAAAGAAAATTCCCTCTTAAATTCAAGGGGATTCACAAAACAAAAAAAAAACACTAACCAACTCACACATACACAGTGCAGCGTGAAAACGAAACGAAAACAAAGCCGAAATTTTTTACGGAAAATCACGAAGAAAAACGTGTCTATTTTCGTAGCACACTTTTGAGGGCAATCAAAAGAGCGGGGGACTTCCCCGAATGTTTAGAAAAAACGGCACAAAAAGCACGAGGAAAAAAATGCGCACGCCGCGAGAAAAAAATAGGGGAAATCCCGAAAGCACCCACGCAAAAAAAAAAGATACATATATATTTATATATATATATAAACGCAGGGACAGGGCCATATAAAAAAATAGGGGAAGCACACTCACTGAGTTTGGTGGAAATTCGCAAGACCAGCGGTCAGATGCTGTTCGTCGCCGGTGCGATGAGGTTCTGCGGGATCCTGCGACCTAAGAGCCAAGAAATCAGCAAACAACCTATTTTTGTTCACAAATTATAGCCCACTACTTTTTGAGAGTTCGGGAATTGTGCGACTGGCTCGATGCTCGTGTGGGAGCCAACTACCTAAAACCTCGGCCGGAGTTCGAGGACCGGAGCAAAGTCGAGCAGCCACGGGCCACGGGCCACTTTGGAACCCCCAAAATGGAAATTTCGCATTCACATTCACATTCACCATCCATCCATCCAGCCAGCCAGCCAGCCCAAGCACAAGCACATCCAGCCGGGCTGCAGTTTTTCGGCGGCCAGCGACAGGGAGCGGGTTAAATGGGGTTACCAACGGGTTAAGCAGGGTGTTATGGGTGTAATGGGGTGGGTTTTTGGCCAACATCTCTCCAGGCGAGTGTGCGTGTATGTGAGACGGTCAGGACGACGACAGGCAAGCAAGAACGGAGAACCGAGAATGGAGAATGGAGAACTGGGAACAGGCCGATAAACAAACGCGAGATGCCAAGCCAACCCCTTGTCACCCCTTTAATGCCAAGCGCACAGTGAGTTCAAATTGCATTCAACATGTCCTAATTGTTCATTAGAGCCTTAATGTTCTACATCAAGGTTTTGGGGTGTTGATCATTATTAATTTCCATTTTTAAATCTTATAAAAAAGCTACGAGCATAAATACCAATACCCCGTTCTAAAAATCTTTTCCAAACATAATTTATTTCCTTAGACTGTATTATATCCTTTTAATAAAATACATTTATTTTAACTTTGTAAGTTAATTTGAATTTTAATATTATGATGTTTTCTTTAAGTTATTAGTATTTAATGACCGATTTTTTATTCACAAGAGGATATGCTTAAAAAAGTAAAGTTGAAAAATATCTAATCTATACTAAATAAAGGTTTACATGGGCGAACATGGTTAATCATTTTGGGATATCCCTGTTTTCGACCACAAATGATCTAGACCACAGTGCTCCACTTTGGCCCGGAAAGGGGGTTGGAGTTTTCCCACCCCCGCTCTGCTTTATTCACCGCTTCTCCCCCGCCAATCCCCTCACTCGACGAAATTCAACGTAGCAGCAGCAACACAATGTTTGGCATGCAGAGATACGAAGTTTCCTCCTTTATGCGGAATATGCATGTGCTCTCTGCCCTCCGCCCACTCCCCGAACCCTTTCGTACACCCAACCACCCCACTAGCACCTCTCTACAGACAAAGGGGTTTTGGCTCAGTTGGCAGATGAATGAGGACGAGGGGTTGGCCAGGAGGGCAGAAGGTTGGAGGACAAGGGGAGCGGCAATCTGTAGCGCATGCACAGCAATTAGAGCAAGACAGACTGTTGTGGATGTGGGCATATCCTTGTGGGAGGGCGGGGAGGGAGGCGACGGGTCTGGTTGGCTCGTTCACTGGCTATATGCGTCCATATATACCTTGTACCTCGGTGTACTCCGGGATAAAGCAACTGGCGAGGGACTTGGCCTAAAAGCAGAGCAAACAGAACGAGCCGAGCTAAATAGTTGTAGCCACAGTGAACACTCGCTGCAGGAACCCACCAAAGTCCTCTAGCAAAAAACAATTATCTTCGTAAATGAATTGTTGTACATAATATATCTTAGAAAAAAATAATAGTTTTCTAATATTTTGAAATTATGAAAGCACGAACTTATTTTTATTTCATTGAGTTTGAACATAGAGTTAACCGAAAAGAAAACTATAAAACATATGCTAAAATCTAAATTCATTGTTTTTTATGAAAAGAATATGACATTTTATTATTAGACTTAGATTCAGAATGTTTATGCAGCAGCTCACAAATTTAATATAATCCTTCAGGACCTTTTTTTTAACCCTTTCAAATTGAGTCCTCAACGAAATCATATTGCTTACTCCCATTTATACCCCAACTGTGCAAATTTTCACCCACACCTTCGTCTATTTATAGAATGCAACATTTTTGTTGACACACAAAATAAAATCAAAACGAATGACCTTGCAACAAGGGAAATGCTGAAAATCTCTGGACAAAAACATGTGTTTCCAGCCACCCTCCCACCCACTACACAAATAGCAACATCAACATGTTGTTGCCAAAAAAAAAAAGGAAAGGGATGAAAAAAAAAAATCAACCACAGCTTTAACCCTTTGAGAAGGTTTGGCGAATATAAAAATAAAAACAAAAGGTGCGGATAAAGGCACACCAAAAAGGAAACAAACAAAGGCCAAGGAAAAAAAGCATGTAAAATGTTACAAATAAGGGAGAAAATCAGACAAAGCGGGGACCAGGGAGTTGGCAACTCGAAGTTGACCAGGCCGACGAAAAGGTGAAAAGCGCAGGCGCCAAAAAACTCGGAATGCAGTGGACAAAACGGAAATGCTGATAAATAACACTGCTCGGCTCGATGGACCACTTACCCACCCCAAACGGAAAATCCCAGACTGCAGCAGAGGAAAAGCAGCGCAGCTTGTGGGAGGGGCAACTCGCACTTCCCAGGATGCATTTCCCAGCTGCAGCCGCATCTGCAGTAACTGCGGAACTACAGTAAAAATCCCCACCGGGGATTCCCCCAAAATTTAATTTCTGTGTGGTAGGAGTCCTGACTATGTGTTGCTTGCATGTTTGTGGTTCCCGTCACCGCTGCGCAACAAGTGACAAGGAAAATTAGACAAAGTATGGGCAGAAATAATATTGAGAGTCCGGTAAAAACCCTACAACAAATTTTAAATATTATAGCAAAAATAATTAAATTTGTGCAATATTTTTCCATGGCAGCTACACGATATAGTCAATTGAATTAGTACATATTGATGTTGATGCACTTAAATTCAATGTTTGAACTTTAATAGATAAACTTTAACTATAAATTTAGATATAGTATAACTATAACGATGCCGTATACAAATTTGAAACAGTAAATACAAAATATAATAAACAAACATTTTTATATCCATATGTTTAGTACTCACTAAACATAAAACATAAACATGTTCACAAGACTGAACATCTTAAGAATAGTTTACTGTTTTGAGAAAACACTGTATATACTTTATAATGTCAAAAATGTCTCCTTCACTGCCTCCAAAACTTGAGCTGGCAAACAAATATATACAGTTCTATTACAAATACTTTAAGACCTTTAAATAACATTGTAACCAGAAAATTAAAATACTAAGTGGGAATTATTATTCTTAAAAACTAAAAAAAAAAAAAACTATTTTTAGAATACTTTTCAAACGGAATTATTATCTGCACCTGTGAAAAACTTTTTGGTTAACCAATAGTTGTAATTAAAATCCGCAATACCCTGGGCAGTAGTAAAGTAACTAATTCACAGTTTAAAACCTAAGTTAACGTAAACCTAAAGAACACGAGCTTTAATAAATGTTGAAGACTTGTTTAACAGGACTAAAAATAATTCGAAGACTTTTTTTTTTGCTTATTAGAAACTACGCCTATATTTTAAACTTGTATTAAGCCAAATGCTTGTATAGCTGAATAAATGCTTAACAAAAGTTTAAATAACCAAATGATTAATATAAATAAATAAATAAAATGTACTTGTTAAGTGAGGAGGTAAACAGTTTCAATTATAATTGCCTCTTTTCAAACATTAAGGTTACCTTATAAAATTAGACCAAAGTTTTATAAATAGGATTTTAAATATCTTTTTACAACTATAAATATGAAAATTTAAAAAAACATTTTTAAGTTTTATGTTTTAAAAACGGAAATGTTTTTTCCAAATAATTTAATAAATAACAAAATAGGCAAATTTAAGGTTGTTCGTTTATAAATCAAAGAAGTAAGGCCATGTAGGATTAAAATGTTACTTCGGACAAAAACTTCTGTCAAACTAGAGTCATGAAACAATTTCAGATACATTTGTAGCAACCGTTCCGCCCCCTGATAAATATTTTTAACTATTAAATTATTGTTTAAAACTCCCCCTGCTGCTCTTAACCCACATGTTGCCCCCGAGTCGCGTGGCCTTAACCCTAACCTAGCGCAACTTTTGTCGACTGAATTCGCTTAACTCGTGTGCGGACCACAAAAAAAAACACCAAACGTGTGCGAGAAAGAGAGGGGGCTATAGAGAAGAGGGCGGAGAGAGGGAGAGAAAAACACATGGTTCCAGGCCACGCGAAAATGCGAATTGAAATGCGTCCTTAGAAATATCTCGAATAAAACAACAACAAAGTGCAGTGTGAGTGGGCGCAGGAGGAGAGCGGCAACAAAAAGAAAAACAACAATTATTGAATGAGTTGCCACTGCTTCTTCTTCCGCTTCTGCAGGCGCTTTGTTTTTGTTTAATGCATGTGTGATTGAATTTGTGTGTGCGTCCATGTGTGTGTGGAAAATAGCAAAATTTAGCAACAAAGAAATTATATTAAGTCATGCCAGCGGCAACAACAAACAAACAATCCCGCTAACAACTACAACTACAAAACTTACCATTTTGATGCTCCAATTGCTAACTGTTCTTGTTGTTGTTTGTCACTACCGTTGTTGTTAACCACAAAAAATAAGCAACAGACCGCGCACACACGCGTTTTTCTTTCTTTTGTTTGTTTTTTCGGGTTTTTTTCTCGTTTTACACAGTTTTTGGAGCTGCCAGCGGAAACAGTCAGCAAATGCAGCGAAAAAAAAAGATAATACTCCGCATTAAGTGTTTGCAACGCGTTGGAGACGTTGTTGTTGTTGTAGGTGCGAGTGCACGCGGTGTTTGGCTTTGATGTTTCTAATATTTATAATATTCGGACGCGATGTCGTGTTGTTGCACCGCACTTGCTTGCACTAAATGCAACAACATTCGGAATCGGAATCAAGGAGGAAGGAAACGAGAACGAGAAGGAAGCGAGAAAGCCGAAAACACACGTAACATGCCAACTATCGAGCACTTCGAGATGCCAACTAGAGCTGCAAAAAAATCGATGTCACCATCGATTGAATCGCTTCGATCGAAAAACATCGTTTCATCGAATTCATTCGATATTTTCTATACTGAAAAGTGACCAGATACACTTCTGGGGGCTTTTATTTTCTTAAATTATTTTGTGCATAAATTATTTGTATATATATTTTTGTAATAGGTTAATTAATGAATGCCTTAAGCCACTGTTTCTTGTTGGTGTGTTTAAAATATAAAAATGGTATATGTAGTATTTTATTGTTAGCCAGACGAAAGATATGAGGTATATGGGTTTTCAACAAGAAACATTTTTTTTTAAGTTCAAGTACTCGAAAATACCTTAAATCATAGTACTCAGATCGATAAACATGAAGAGAAAAAAAATTTAAAAACATATACACAAGAAAGCGCCTTAAAGGATACGTCTTAATGATAATTAAGTGATAATTTTCAATTTCAAGTCGCACCCAATTCTTGCAGGCGATTTTCCGTTGTTTTTTTTTGTGGTTTTTCCGTTCATTTTTAAACCAAGAAACACTGCTCTGGTAACAGACACTTCAAAAGATTAAATTTTTTATTATTACATTTTGTAATCTTTTTGCTAGGTTCTGACGAACGTTTAGAAGAGTTTATTTTAGGAGCTTGAAAATTTGTAATTATCTGGTATTTTTCACCTGTCTGAGTACTGGGGTTAGAAAAGGTCCTGACCAAAAGTGTATCATAGCTGAGAACGGATTTCGTCAATCTGACTTCTAAGCTGAATGAATGCCTAAATAAAATGTCTTTTATTAGTATATTCATGGCTTAATCGAAATATGAAAATGGTATATTTTGTACAAATTTTTTTTTGCCAGAAGGAATATTTAAGGCATATAGATTTTCAACAAAAATACTTTTCTTAAATCCTTTCAAGTAATCACACAGTCTTAGCCTAAATAGTAGAAAATTTTTTTAATATTTTTATATATCAAATTAATTTGAGGGGACTGTCAGAACGACAGTATCGGCGGTCTGGCATGCGTCCATGCGATAGTATCGATTAAACATCGATTTTTTTCCAGCTCTAGCAGCACATGTGTGTTGTTGCTTGCCATTGGCATCAAAATTTGTCGGTAAGTCTGGTTTTCCCGCTCCTAATTTCGCCATCCGCCGACACGAGTCAATTGTACGACAATTTCAGTGCGTTCGCTGTTGAGAAAGGAAAGGAACGGAAGAAAGGCCAGAAAACCGGACTCAGGACAGGATCAGGCGATCAGGCAGGTAGAAGTTTGCACAGACACGGAACGCGAAACGCGAAATCTACATAGCAAACATGCCGAACGACACGGTGGTAAAGGTTCAGGAGTACAAAGACACGCTGATCCTCAAGGCGGAGCTGCTGATCACCAAGCGCTTCCCGGAGAAGATCGTCCAGCTGAACGAGCTTTTGGCCACGCCGATGTTTAACGAGCGCAATTTCGAGGAGGTGCACCAGGACCTCAATATCCCGGCTCTGCCGCCTGTACTGGTTAAGAACCACGAGGACGGCCAGTCCGAGGACGGGGACCATCCACCCACCAAGCGGCAGCGCAAGGATGTGATCGTCTCCGGGCAACCGGTCCTGGCATTGCCGGCAGGAACGGTGCCTTGCAACAAGCCGCTCTGCGAGATGATCAAGGTGGTTAAGCCCATCATCAGGAAGCTCGTGGAAGATTGTAAGTACTCTGGGCGCTTAGTGATCCTAGGCAACCCTACAATTTCCTACTAGTTCAGTGCAGTGTTAGCTTATAATCCATGTTTTTAAGATGTGCATATCGATTATGCTAATTAATAACCCTAATCCACTTAGAACCTTTAAAAAACTCCCAATTCCCTTCTATTTAATATTGCCGCTTAATATTGATATTTTTCATGAACTGAATTCCTAGAAATCCCTATTAACCCCAGTAAGATGCGGATTTATGAACACCTAAAAACTCTTATTAATCCCCTATTTTCTTTTCCGCAGCTAATCTCCTCAAGATGTGGATCTCGTTCATGATTCCCAAGATTGAGGATGGCAACAATTTTGGCGTCTCCATCCAAGAGGACACGTTGGCCGAGATTCAGACAGTGGAGTCCGAGGCGGCCGCCTTCTTTGACCAGATATCGCGCTATTTCCTGTCGCGCGCCAAAGTCGTGTCCAAGGTGGCAAAGTATCCGCACATCGATGACTATCGGCGCGCCGTCGTCGAGCTGGATGAGAAGGAGTACCTCAGTTTGTGGCTGGTCGTCTGCGAGGTGCGCAATCGCTACTCCTCGCTGCATGACATAGTGATTAAGAACCTGGAGAAGCTGAAGAAACCGCGCTCTTCCAACACCGAGAGCCTCTATTAGGCGTTCCCCAAGCCCAACCCCTTCTCTTTTTTTTCATCATCCTATTTACTGTTCAAGAAACAAACAATAAACAGCCCGTAGAGCGGACGGTCAGCGGTTCTTGTGGCTACTCGAAAACTCAGCCTCCCCCCATTTCGATTGAACAACATCAAGGACATCAGTCAAGTAAAGAAAAAAGAAGATAAGAGAAGCATTAAGCAATAGCTGTAGCCTAACTAGCGCCTTTATTGATCCATTTGTACTACGTCTAGAGTTTAATGTCGAGTTTAGCGTAGAATACAAGAAACCGATGCTGTATAGATTCCACTAATAGCTATAGCTATGCATATAAATAAATAAATCGAACGTTGCCTTGTCGTTGTCGGCCGAGAGCAAGAAAAATTCAAGAAAAGTAATGAAACGAAAGCGGTTTAACAACTCAAGACATTTGCGATGGATCGACCGGCGCGATGAAGCAGCTGAGAGTTTGTAATAAAAAAGAACCTTGTGACCTTTTGGCAGAGTATTAAACTGTTTGGTATTCTTTATTTACCTAAGGTGGCTTAAGATTTAATTTCACAAGTATGTGATGGCGTCATGCATTTCGCCATTTGAAGGCGCGCCAAAAACATGACAGCTATTGTATGCAATGCGTAATGTTGGTTTTGCAGTCTCACAGCAGCGGGCTTTGTGTGGAGTTCCAATAAGAAGAAGCTAATTGCTACAGCTACCATAAAAAGACTGTTTGCTATATCATTTTATACAAAATGGCTGAAAACAATAAACAAAATGCTTTTAAACATGAGGATGGTATTTTGTATTTAATTTAATTAAAAATGCCTCTCAAAAAGATAAAAAACGGACTTATTTTTTTAAAATTTATTTTTGAATTTTACAGCACTGGAGCTCCTTGGTCTAGAACTTCAGTTCTAGCATGTTCGCTTCAAGCTCCCGCCACACATGTTCGGCTCGAACTCCCGCCAAGCATGTTCGGCCCGAGCTCCCGCCAAATATGTTTGCTTCAAACGCCCGCCAAACAATAAATTCAAAACGCAAACTTTCTTTAAAAAAAAGTAATCGTATATTAAATAGATAATGAAACATAATTACTATTTACACTAGTACTATCGATTTTTTATTTACAACTAATTTAACTAAGTCTCGACACCACACATGGATACATACAAAAACTAACATCTCGAGTGTGTTTCACAATTTTAAAAACTTAGTCGACCGAAAAAAAATGGAAAATTAAACCAAATAAAGATAAGCATGGCCGGTGTGTGCTAAATTCTGTGGCTCGTGGATTATTTATAGCTAAAGTTTGTGCTAATACTTTCGTTTTTCTTTTTATTAAGACGTGTCCAGTGTATTGGAATTACGGTTCGATTTCGAGGCACTTTTGATTTGTTGTTAAAGGCAGTGTTTTTCTTTTGTATGCTATATTCGGAATTTTCGCGTCGCTCTCTTTAGCTTAGCCTAACTTAGGCTTAAATCTATATATGACAATGAACATTTTTACACAGATTATCAACGTTTGGGCGCTTAGCTAATTCTTAGACTATAGGTCAGTACTGACATCAGCTAAATAAATCGGTAGCTTGGAACTGTTTATAAACTTTCCTGATCGTACATTTTTTATTTTGATTTTTCTTTAGTAGCATATTTACCTAAGCCTACAATTTTTAAGTCTAAAATTCCTACAGGTTTTAAAAAGCACCATCGTAAAGTTTTTAGGCACAAGACCCTCTTGAAAAAATTAAAAACCAGATAAATTATTCAAAGTCCGGGATATTTAAATCCTATGCCTTAAATCATATTATTCTGTGTTGGATTTTTCTGCTAGCTTGATCCCTAGTATTTCTTGTATATTTTTGGACTTCACTGGCTAACCGATTTCCATGGCTGATGTCAGTGACTGGACTTCCTGGCTACCAACTCCATCTGGTCTCTTCCACTGAACTGAACTTAGCCCGCTGCATTAAGTAAACGAAATGGCACATTGAACCACAACCCACATGATCCCTCCTGTGACGCCTCCAGTGACCCATCCTGTGACCCATCCGATCACATGTGATGGCCCCACCAGGCGGCGCTGGCCTGGTAGTATCCATCGTGTCCCCAGCCGAGGATGCTGAGCGGCGGTGGCGGCGGCGTTAGCGAAAGTACGTCCACATCACTGTCGTTGTTGTTGTTGTTATTTCTATGGTGGTCATTGTTATTATTGGACTTGTTCGCAGTTTTCCGCCAGCCATGCCGTGGCTGTGGTGGAACTGGGAGCCGCAGGGCTAGACGTCGTCGACGCCTCCGACGGCGCACCAGATCCCAGCCGACGGTGCCCTCTTGTTAGAAACCGCGAGGCGAGCTCTTCGCCGGCGCCAGGAAGGGCTTCTCCTCGTTCATCTTCTCCAGATTGCCGCTGAGCGTCGGATCGGTGGGCCGGATGCGCTTGAAGAAGCCGCACTTCCACAGCAGGAAGGTGAATAGCGCCAGGAGCAGCAGTCCGCCCACGATGCCCAGGATGATGATCAGCCAGGGTATCGAAGTGTCGCGCTGCTGGTTCCTCAGTTCCGGATAGGCCCGCGTCTCCACCTGGAAATGGGATAGTATTAGTATCTAGCATTCCTTGATCCCAAATGTAACTCAAAAACCTCACCTCTATGCTGTTCAGCTCCATCACCTCGACGCCATAGTTCTCGGGTATTAGGGCCGAGGCCTTGGAGAAGATCCTGACCCGTTCCACCCTGGGATATTCGCTGACCAGCGTGGAGTTCCACAGGCGGGCCTTGACCACCACTTGGGCCTCGGATGAGGCTGGCATATTGAAGATATCGCACTGGATGCGCACGCAGTTCGTCGTGTCCTTGGTGCAGTCCAGCTCCACGATGTCCTGCTTCTTGCCATTGGCCCCTGCCGCACTGTCACCCTCCGGATCGTACATTAATCGCTCCAGCCGGGTGACGCGGTCCAGAAAACTGCGACGTACTCGATTGTGGGAGCTGACTTGCGAGCTATCCACGCCATCCTCCCGCTCGCTGCTGGAATAGTAGCTCCTCTGCGAGTGGACCACACTCTTGTTGTACGGATGACGCGACTGCGAGGGGAACATTCTCAACTGAGCGGGAGCCCTCAAGTAACCGGTGCTATCCCTGGAGCCGCCGGCCAACTTCAGCGGGTTGACATACTCGGGCGCCACATGGCATTCGCCCTGGCTGGCCTCCACCGTGGGTATTTGCTCCAGATAGAGCAGGTACTGGACACCTCGACCGCTCTGGGGATCACTGTACAGTGAGTACGGCCAGTAGATGACCATCTGCACCTTGGGCGCCGTCGAGGGTCCCTCGTTGAAGATGGTGAAGCTGTGATGAACCTGCGAGCCCACATCGTCCATGCCCATCGGTCCGTGTAGCTCAGCATCCGAGATGCCAGTGGTGCCGGTGGTGGCCACACCCGTCGTCGCACTCGATCCACTGTAGAAACTCTGCTCGGGAATGGCCCATCCGCGGAAATGGAGCTTCGCCCGACGCACCACATTCACCAGAAGATCCCGCTCGGGACGCTCGCGACCCACCAACTTGGAGGTGGTATTCGCAAAGATGTGGAACAGCATGGACTTCTCACTCGGCTCCAATCCTTTGGGCTGGAAGCGTATGGTCACGAATGTGGTGGTGTCGCGCAGCATGGGATTACCCAGACTGCATGCCACCAATGTGGTATTGTAGCTGTTGCAGGTGGCATTCGTCTGTGGAAGCACAATAAGTTAGAGATGGAGTGGTGTTCATTTCTGGCAGGGACTTACCGGCTTCTTGGTGGCCACATAGGAAACTCCTGCCTGATGGGCGACGAACAGTTGAGCCTCGTAAGCGGAATCCGCCAGATTGCTCACATCGATCCGAACCTCCAGTTCCGATTCGTCCAGGATCAGGGTGTAATCGTTGCCTAAAAAAAGGATAAAACAGGTTAATACTTTAATATTCCATAAGCTCATTTATACATTTTAACTAATATACAAAGGCAACAAGGAACCTTTAAGTCTTGGGGTAACTGTCTTAAATTGAAGTTAAGCATTCTTTCTCTCATGACTAGATTGATAGCTATATAATCAGGGATTCACCCTACTCACCTGATGACTGTGTAATGTTCGGCTCCGCCCGGATGACCAGGTTGCTCTCGCAGAGATCGTCATCGCCGCAGTCCTTTTGGAAGGTGCCCTCGAAGTCGATGTGCGCCTGGGTCTGGTCCAATATCGGATTGAGGCTTGTCAAAGCGGACGCAGCCAGTGGCGGCTCCTGCAGCGAGTACTTCAATCGGAAACGCACCGGAGTCTGGATGTCCCGGGTATTGGCCTTGATGTAACCCGTAACCGACTGGCAGGCCATCTTTCCGTCCGTTCGCACCGTCACCACCCGACTGAGCACATTGCTCCGCTTGTTGTCCCGATCGAAGAAGACCCGGGAGAACTTCTTCAGATGGTCGAAGGTCTCCGCCTCGACGTTATAGGCCAGCCGGAGCTCCTTGCTCTTCTCGTCGAACGGATCGATGCTGCAGCAGGCTTGGAAGGTGAAGCAGGTGAGATTACTGCTGGGGTCTGCCAGGCAGCCCGGCTGGTTGGGGTCCATGTTGTGCAGTTCCTTGCGCAGCACCTTCGTCTGGATGCTGATGATGGGCCTGGCCAGCAGGATAACCGCGGCCGAGGAGTTGAATGCCCCAATTACCACATCCGGGTAGGAGTTATCGTCCAAATCCGTGTTGCCCGATATCGATATGCCGAAGGTGCGAATGGGCTGGCCAGTGGGTATGGTGCCACCCAATTCGGAGGCCTGTATCTTCTGGGCCGGCTTGGCGTTCAGTCCCTGCCTCGAGCCCAAGTAGATGTAGACCACACCGTTACCTTCGTAAGGAGCTCCCACCGCCAGATCGTCGCAGTTATCCTTGTTGAGGTCCCCGATATTGGCCAGGGCCAGGCCGAAACGACTCTCCAGAGCTCCCGTCAACTTCAGTGTGTATTTCGAGGGCAACGTGTCCTTGTCATTCTGGTAAACGTACACGGCTCCACCCTCTGTTTTGGTGAAGTACAGTGGAGCTGCCACTATCAAGTCCGGTCGGTGATCGCCATTCACATCGGCGGTGGCCAGTTCGTAGCCAAAACTCGATCCGAACTGCTCACCGTCCAGGATGGAGTGCACCGGGATCGGATTCTCGGTGGACTTGTCGAAGATCACCACCTGACCATGGCCCTCGGAACGTGGAGCTCCGGCCGCATATGACATATGTCCGAAGAACCGGCCACCGGTCACCGACATGCCCAGGTAGCTGTACTTGTCCACCGGCGAGCTGTTATCCGAGTGATCACTGTAGTAGGTCGTCTTGTCCCGCTGCAGGTACTCCCCGCCCACCTGGGTCACCCAGATGGATCCGCGCCACGTGTACGGTCCGGGGGAGCCCAACACCATGGTGTCATCGTCCAGGAGAGCGGCCGACGTTCCCGCCTGGCACAGTCCGTAGTCCTCGTGTTGCCTGCGGGTTGGAATAAAGAAGATTAAGGTAATTAAAGGTTTCTTATTGGTCAGTTTCATTATGACTATTCACTTCTCCAAGCATCCTTCCCCATATCCAATCCTTATTCCAAAGCATTAGCTTTCCTTTATGGTATTAATTAGTTTTAATTTACTAGAAATCTACATTCAAATTTTTAATTTTAACGTTACTTAATTTTTTGACCCATTTCATGTTTGTTATTTCCCTTTTTGTAAGAGCTGCAAGGATATATTAACTTCGGCGTGCCAAAGTTTGTTTTCTTTCTTGTTTATATTTAACTTTATAGTGCAAGTTAATTGGCGATAAAAACAAAAGCAATGACCACTTCAACTTCGGTTAGTTCCTGATTTATTATAGTTTGTTTTGCTTAGCAAAAGAGTCCAGAGACATGATGTCTTGGCCCTCTTTAAATAACCCCCCATGGATTATCCTATTCCCGAATCGGGACATTAATAGATGACCATGGTCAATGAAAGGACTCTATGGGCACCCGTATCTTTATTTCCCCGTCATTTGTCTATTCCCGAATGGAGTTATGCGTTGGACATTAATGGATGACCAGGGTCAACATTTGCCCGTTGACCTCCTGTTTTCCACCTATTTGTGTCCTCTTTTTTTTTACCCCCTGCCTATTCCCGAATCGAGTTTGGGCACGCGAGTTTCAGCTCGATGAAAAATTGCATATTCAGAATGATGACAGGCCACCTTTGAACCTCCCGTTGCCAACCGCTCCTTGATTTTGGTCATCATGTGGGTGCGGAATATTATCCCCCCCCCACGCTGTCATTTAAATAAATTAAATTTCACCTTTATGAGTGTGCGTTTTTAGCCTGCAACGACGTCATCGGTGTCACACTCGAAGTGACCCTGCCCCAACTCGTAACCCCTGAAACCCCCCACCTATTGCCACACACGCTGCATGCTAATTGGGCGAAACACCCCCGCATTATTCACCGCCGCAGATAATTCACCTTGACACTTTTCTTTTTATTTCCCTTTCGCTTCCCTGCCAGGAATAAAGAACAAACACACAACTGACCCATGTCAACTGGAAAGAGAAGGGGATGGGGTGTTATGATTGCCTCAACCCACAATAGAATACCCGATCAATGTAGAAAGCGATAGCAATGACCTAGGGCAACCGGCAAGAAATTCACCACACAAGAATTATAGATTATAGAATATAATATAAAGAAAACCTACATATGTAGGTTTTTTCTTAGTAATAAATTAAGTTAATTCGTTGTTAGAGATATCTTTAATAATCACATGTATATCATATCTCACACCATCACTTTTCCAAACGTAAATAAAGGAATTTATTAATTATTATAGGGTGATCTTTTAGGCAGAAATGAAAACAAAAAATTCTCCAGACGTTATTCAAATTATGACCAATAATTAAGATATTCATAGTTTTTCCGTTTTTTAAATTGATTCCGTATCCAGAAATTTATGAAGTGTCTGTTTGGAATGAATTATACTCTTCAAATAGTGCTACTGATTCATGCTCTGACTAATTGTGGTTTCTTATAAAGTGTTTTGAGTTCTTGGGTAAACATGGAATTTTCTCAATAATATAAATAGCTTTGAAGGGAAAATGATGCATGCCCTTAACGATATTATTATTTTAAAGTGTTTTTTCAGAAGAAATAAAATTTCATTAAATACGTTGATAAATATCTGTGATCTAACTAACAGTAAGTCTATCTCAGAGTACTCACCTTTGCACAGGTCGTCCTTTGCATGGTTCGTGCACCTCTTCAAACTGCAGATCGTTCGTAAGTAGATAACACAGACCCTGGCCATAACGGTTCTCTCGAACGATGTACATATAGCGATGGGCGCAGACGATTACCTACAATGCAATTATAGAGTAATATTAATTAAAACGTTTTATCTGTGTAAGTCTACAAAACATTATAAAGGATTGAATTTATCTTGGGGCTTGCGGATATGACCTAACTCACCTTTCCGCCGGATCCGTTGGCCTGTAGGGGATTCGAACGCACCGTTACGCCCATCCACTGGTCCTCCTTGATTTCGTCATTGCCGGGAGGTGAGAGGATTTCGCTGTCGAAAGCTGAGCGAAGAACGGAGAATTCGGAGAGCGAATGTGGAGATCGCGGGAGAAAGAAAGAAAGTGCAGAGTGTTAAACAATTGCCAAAAAAGAGATGCAACGTGTGATAGTGTATGTGATTGTGTCTTTCTGTGCGTTTGTGTACAAATGTGTGTGTGTGTGTGTGCATGTCAGCAACAACAACAATAATAATATAACATCAACAACAACAATAACGGTAATAATAATTAATAACTTTAAAAAACTAAGAGTAGTATGCATTAACAACAGTATATACATATATAAATGTATGCATGTATGTGGTAAAAACAACAATAATCATTCACAAAATTTACATACGTACAATACAGTGGACTTTGTTTTGGTCAAAGATTTTCATTTTAAAAGGTGTCTCTTGCTTTTACATTAAATGCTATTCCCTAAAGATGGATGTACAGTTTATTACTCATACGCAACGTGGAAAATGGTAATAAACATTTCAATGCAACTGAAAATCTTATAAGTCGAATAAAAATATATCCAATGAAATGTTTATGATTTTTGACTTAGTTCAAATTGGTATTTTACAAATATTTAAATTTTGTAATGAGCTGTAGGTCATATATATTTTAAGCTTTGTAGAATTTGTTGGTAAATGTGATATTTGCAATGATGATCACTTTAAGTTTTAAAAGTACACCTATATTCAAAATTACAGCTATAGGGTATACAGGACTACCCAAAATCTTTAACTTCAACTGGAAATCGAAATGGAAACAAATGCAGTAAAATGCAAATTCCAACCGACTTCGAACTCCGAACAATTTAATTATTTACAGCTGATTTTCGGGCAACAAGTTTTCTTGATTGTTTTTTTTATGTTGGCGGTAAGTTGTACAAAGAGGAAAAGAGTGGGGAGTAGAGGAGGAGGGAGTGGGAAACAAAAACTTGTTGATTAAACGAAGCGTGAAACGAAGCAAAAGAGCGGGAAAACAAAAATGGAAAGCGCAGCCGCAAAAGAGAGAGAGCCGAACGAAATTGATTTAGAATGCATTTTAAAGCATCAAAGTGTTGAAATATGATAAATGATTATGACACTTGCAAGAGCCAGAGGGAGGGGTGATCGAGAGAGGGAGAGAAGAGAGTTTAGTTGCAGTGCACAGAAAAAACATTACCAGATTTAAAGATCGATCAAAAACAATTTCCCATTTCACTCTGTTTCAACTATATTTTTTGGAAATCTTAGAGTCTATGCTTTAATCCCATAAAAAAACATAATTTTTAAACTAATTTCTACTACTCAATAAGAAAAGTCAATTTTGGTTATTGCCATAGAAATGCTATCTAAGTAAAAAACATAGTTTTTGTTAAAAAATAAATTCGAGATATATCTGGGACTTTGCAGAGTAACCCTTTTTTCATAAGATAAACCTTGGTATTATGGACTTTTAAAGTGATTTCTTTCGCTGTAAAGTTTTCTTTTCGGTTTTCGTGGGGCGTGGGTCGTTCTTGACGGGTTTCACGCGTTATAAAACGCGTATGGCAGTTGCGCCTGCGCAGTGAAAGTCGCGCAGCTGGCAGAACCGCGTACTGCCACTCCCCCTTTTCAAATTTCTTCATCGCAATTTCCCCTTTTTTCTGTGCTTTTGACATTGGATAGAGTGAAAAAGAATCTCTGAAGGTAATGAAAAGAAAAAGGGGTACTGTGTAATGTGCAGTAATGCAAAGAAAACCTCACCCAAAACCCCCCGTTTTTCCTCCCCTTTTTCACCCGCCTAAATTCCGAGATATTTTCGTCCGAGAATTCGCATATGCGCTGTGTTTTTTACAATTTGCAGTTATTTTTATGCCCCAACATTTGTTTTGCCTTTCATTCGTACACAGCAAAAAAAAAACATTAAACATTGTCATTAGTTTTCAATATTATACATTTAAACAACAAGCCTGAATATTCTTGAATTATAAATTAAAGAAATTTTGATTTCCAGAGAGGGCTTAGTTTATTTTTAAGTTTTAAGTGGGAAGATAATGCACCCAATAAGTTTACACCTTTGGATATCAGTGTAGCCATTGTTCTGGATTTCGTTTTGGTATTTTTTACTGCGCTCATAGTTTGAGAAATTTGTCACGTTCTTGGGCGGCGCCGTTGGCAAAAACCCACTTCTTCGGCTTTTGTAGTTTTTTTTTTTTTAGTGATTTTTTTTTAGCTGTTTCTTCTTGAAACTGCCACGCTCTGATTGTCAAAGAGCGAAGAAGAAGAACTGGAGGAAGAAGAAGAAGCGGCAGAAGAAACCCGGTCACAGTGTCGTTCAAAAAAAATGCAGACGACCCAGATGCAAGTTAACACTTGGGGTGACGAAGGGGTTCATAAACACCCAGCAGGGCAAAAGCACAAATGGATTAACATACGGAGTGGAAACAGGAGAGAAACCGAAGCCGGGATACCCATCCTAAAAGTGTTGTCACATCAAAAGGTAGGCATAAATCATTCGCTATATATTCGATATAGAATGATTTGTTGAGCATTGATTGATTCTTTCTTTAAAATCACTGAAATTATGATCCCTTTATGCGATCGTTCCAATTACCACTCTGTCTTTACTACGATCACTTGGTAATTTACTAGACTAACTTAGAATATTTATTTTAATCTGAACACTTTAAAATAATAGCATATCAAAATAGGTTAAATTTTAAGTAAGTTTAATTGAGATGGAATTCAGAAAGCATTAAATGTAAAGTCAAAAATTGCAGCTGTTTAAGTTTCGATATTGCATTATTTGCATAATACGTTAAATACATATTTCATTTATTATGTCAATATGTATTGCTAATTTCTGGAAAAACTCATGACACCCTCGACGAGGGTGTAAAGTGATGGCTATAGCAGCTGCCAGGGCTATATAATTAGTGCTAAATGAGTCGCCAATTGAAGCCGCCGAAAATGTGAAACCACATTTATGGGGCTTTGGGATTTTTCGAGTGGCCCCATCACCATGTCATTCCCCTGGTTTTGAGTGAAAATTCCGAGAATCAGTTGGGGCACGCTAAAGGAAATGGTTAACATGTGACGTCGATAATGAAGTTGTGGCTGCAATTGAAGCGTGTAAAGATACTTAAGAAAAGTTCAGTAATACTATCGCAAGCTTAGCTGGCTAATTTGGCCATTTTATTTTAATTTATTTAGAAATGGAGATTACAAAAAATAGCTGTGTCAATTTTACTCTTAAAGTTTTGTGAATACCAAAAGCTTCTTCGGTTTCCATATATTTATTAATGGTTATTGGTCGAATAATAAAAGTTATAGCATCCGTTTGATTATCACATTCCATTTATCAACTGCGAGTTCAGTTAAATAACACCTGGGTACTTGATAAGAGTGATAATGATTACTTCACCGATTAGGTGATTATTTAATCTACATTTCAAAAGTTTATATTCACTAAACTTCTTTAAAAGTTTGTTTATTATACCCTCTTACATATAATAATAGATTGCCGATAGGTGCCGATAATTAGCCCTATTTAATAGACAAATGTGTGCCTTTTGGATTGAATCACAAAATGTTAATAACATAAAATGATAACTTAATATAATAGTTAAGCATTGCCATATTTAAATGGGTATTTGTACAGCCAGATGTGTAATTTTATATATAATATTATATCTGATTGCAATTAGTGCGAGCATGCGTGGCAGGTCAGTAAAAGTAACGATAAAAGTAAGAGTAGGAGTGAAAGGGAGAGAGGAAAGCAAGATGGCGGCCATAGGCATGCGTGCGTGACTGTACATTTTCATTCGGTGATCGGAGATTTTCATAGATTTGCAGAAGATATATGTACAAGCGATTTATTTACTTTTTGGGAAAAAGGGAAAGATGGGTGCACTGAATCGAAAGTATGGTTAATGCCTGGGTTAATTCAACGAAAAATCAAACCGTAAGTGAACGAATCAATGCGCAAACCAAAGGTATGGATACTGATTACTGGTTATATATATAAATATCGATCAAATACTGAATGGGTGTTAGCGGTTGCGATGAGATGCGCGATCCTTGGTAGGGAATCGGGTAATTGGGATCGGTTTTTGGTGGGCAATACAACAATTAAAGCACCCAAAACCACTTACTCTTATTAATCTCATATGCTCCGTTCGCTAAGGGATTCGTTCGTTCGATTTATCGAATAGGAAGTATCGAAAAGATTTGTCAGTATTTTTGGACAGTTGGAGTTGGAAGGGTTAGGATTTCAGGTTGAGTTTGAGGCAGAAACACAAATGAATTTCCCAGTTATGCGCACCGAATACGGATTTCAATTTTGGCGTAACCAAAATATAGGTAAGGGGGAAGAGAACGAAAAATAAAAACATAAGAAAGAAAAAAGAGAAAGAAAGATCAAAATAATTAAAAATTAAATTTAATGTAGTTTTCGATATCGGTATTTGTGTTTTTATATATTTACTAAGATGCTAGGACAAAAAATGGATATCTATACAGTAGGTACTATAGGATAATACGAGTATAATTATAATAAGTGCTCATCGAGTGAACGTACGATCTAAGGACTGATCGCTTGCTAAGTTAATCGTACGATTCAACAAGTGATCAATAAAACGATTAAGCAATTAATCGATGGCAAAACCCATTAAAAAAAATGGGAAATTAAGCACACACGAAATTTTGTAGCCTGATTGATTCAATCAAAAATTTTAGATTCCAATTATTTATCGATTTATTCGCTTGCAATATCGTTTAGACATCGATCAAAGCATTCTCTCCTACTTAAATTAAAAACAAAGTAGTTGTTTAAATGTTAGACATGTTTAGTCACAGATCTCTGTACAGCATTTGGCAATCGTTTATGTACAATTCGCAGACTAAGTCAGGATCCAAAATAAGATATTGGGGTAAACTGAAAATGCGAATCGGTTAGCTGGAATGAAGATTGGCTTGGCCCGGTTGACCCTTGAACCTTGGCACTCCGGTTAGTCACTTGGCAGTTGGCAGTTGGGAGCGGGATTCAGGATTAGCGGGGTTACCACGAGACCGGACAATCTACGACTATAACTAGGTCGGTATATTTATGTATAACTAGGACTGGCACAAACCAATCAACCTTCACCAATGGAAACATGTAGATACAGACTTAAAATAGAAAATAAAAACAGGGTACAGATACTGAAGCTTGGTTATAAGTTATTGACTAACTTGAGATTATATACGTACGCTGTATTCTTTTTTTTTGACTCTAATTAAAAATAAGAACCTAAGAACTTAATATTTGAATATATATTTATGACTGCAGATCCTAGTTATTTTACACACATCTCAAATATGATTCACTTACATCGCCTGCCATCGGTAATCACTTGTTCGCAGTCATCGAAACTTTGTGTCATCGGACACCGCCAAAGGGCGCCAGAATGTGAAGTGTTCGGTTGTCGATTTTGATCCAGTGGGGCTCCCACTAATACACTGCAAAAATAATGGGAAAAAACCAATTTGTTATAACACAAAATAAATAAATAAAATGTAAATAGTATGGTATATATTTGATCATTAAACTTAAAAATTAACACATAATATCATTTTCATTTAATTAATATAATATATATTAGTAAGTTGTATTTTTTAAGATTCGATATATACACAATTTTTTCTCGTTAATTTGTAACAACTGCTCTTTTTATAATATATACGGCTAATAAGTTATAAGTACGTATTATTCCTTCGAACTTCATAATCATTCAACCACAATCTATTCAAGCTTCTATCAATGCCAGAGTTTTGTGAACTTTTACACCTGAATGATATTTTTGATTATAAGTACTTAGATATTCCGCTTGAGCAACCATTTGTAGACTTTGACACTAGCATGATATTTTTGATTTCCGCCCAAGTTGGAAATTACAGAATTTAAACGAAAAAAAAAACACGTAATATTTTTTCTGTGCATATATTTAACTTAACATGTTGGTAATCTGAGCCAACCACAAAAACCCGCAAGACAAGCGATCTGCGGTCAGTTATACTGGGTTATAGTATGGTGGTAGCCATGGCTATTGGCTAATTGCGGGTCGCCACTTTGGCTCCAACTCGTAATCGATTTGTAGGTGGGTTCAACTCAGACTCCGCGACAATTGCGACTTGGTTCAATGCACTTCGGTTGGCTCTTTGCATTTTATTCGGGGCTTGGCCCTGCCGAAAAGTAATTACTCCAGGCGATAAACGTGCTCAGATTGGCGGGGGATCTGGGTGCGTCTGCACGAAAGATTCCGCTAATGAGCAGTCAAGTTACCAAGGAGTAGCCAAAAGCCCAGCAGGACATGTCGAAATATAATCGTAAAATGCGGGAAATAATTTAAAGTTTAAGGGGCTTTAAAGTTGCAAGCTGGGAATATTTTTCAAAGAGGCGTATGTAAGAAAAACCCCAGAAGCATCAGCAATTACTGAAGACGGAGTACAACATAAATATTTACTTATCCCTCATTTTATTGTTTTGGTAGAATTTATGCCAGTTATTTACGCAATCAGTAAATAAATGCAAAAAAGATATTCAAATTTAAGTACAGATACAATTTTATGCAAAATAAATTAAGCAAAAAGAAAATGAGTAATAAAAGTGTATAAAGGAAAAAACAAAACTAAAGCTATTTCGCATGGTAAATAACAAAATAAGGGCAGTCAAAGATGTATAAGATATGCTAGAGAAATGCCGAAGTAAGTCTAATTGCCGATGCATGAAATCCACGAGAAGAAAGACATTTCTCCAGCGCGAAAAGTCGCCAAAAGGCAGTGGAAACATGGCCAAGAAACACGCTAAATGGCAACAAAGTAGGGCCGCCACAAAAGGGGGAGGCTAAATTGCAAAAAAAAAAGAAAACAATAAAAAACAAAAAAAAAATACACCCACGTTCGCTCGCTTAACGTGTTTAACATGAATGTTCATTATCCTGCAGCCGTAAGCTCAGCCATAACCCACAGCAACAACAGCAACATGCAACAACTGCTGCAGCAACAACGGCAACTTCTGCGACAACAACAACTGAAATTGCATGTACGACAACTACAAAACACGAAGGCGAGGAGTGGGTTTATGGCGGCCATTAAGTGGCACCTACACACCACACACACACACCATTAAAGATTAATACACAGAGAAAAACACTGAAATGGTAAGGATCAGCAATTTGATTTTATATATATGAAACATTCTAAAGCATGTTTTCAAAGAATTTGAAATGAAATACAAAATTTAAAAATTATTGTAGTACTATTATAATTGTGAAGTGTAGGTGGAATAAATAATATTTGCTTTTTTTTCTGTGCATCAAAGCTCAGCAATCAACCGTCACAGCAGCAACATCAACAGAAAAACCGAAGAAAAATCGAAAATAAAAGAAATCTTTTAGTGCCCAAAGGCAAAACTGGTGGCCAAATTGCCGATGAGGGTGTGGGTGAGGGGCGTTGGGGGGGCGGGGGGTGGAGATGGGTGCGGGTGGTGTAGGTGGTGCAAAAAAAAAAAAAAAACAGAAGAAGGAGCCGCAGCTCATGGGCGTGCTCCGAGTTATCGCTTTTGTCGCCTCACAATTGACACATTTGCCGGTTTGGCGGTACTAAAACCACAAACATTCAATAAAACTCACGAGCAATCAGTGGGATAGAAATCGCAGTTAAACAGATAAAATGGATTAATAGAACTTTCATAAAAACACTCTCAGAGGAAGATGAAAAGATACCTTTATAGAACATCAATGCAGAGTTAGAACTATTAAGCACTATTTATTACATGAATTTTTAATATCATACAGTCCCAGTCATAACTGAGATTAATACAAGTGAAAGCTAGATTTGCAGCTTTAATTAAAAACTTTATCTAAAGAGCATTCAGATGGTTTAGTGGTAAAGTGAATATAAATGGTAAGATATTAAAATCATTCGGGCTATATATTTCAAAAAATGTCTTTAATACATTTTTTAAATGTGTATATTTCAGAACCCAATAATTCAAATAATACTTTTTATATGTTAAAAATATCTTTGGGAGACCTTTTCTCAATTTTAATGATGTAACCATCTTCAGACATTCCAAACTTAGTTTTATTTAGAAAAACGAAGAACCTGTTCGCCGTGAACTTCACTCCCAAAACAAGGCCACAAAATGAGGCACGAAAACTAGATCAAGAGCGAGTCGGAGTTTCGGGGCAGGTTAAGACCTGATCTCTCTCCTCCGCTTCCCATATTTCTCACGTGTTTGTCTTGTGGTCATTAACGCTGACACTCGGATTGCAACAGACCCAAAAAAAGAAGACTTAAGATCCCGACCCACCGACCTGACCTGACCCTTCCTCATTTTCGTTGGTTTTATGGCCGGCTTTGCTTTTGACCCGAAGTCCAATGTCTCTTTTTTCCACGTTTTTTGTTGTTGTTTGTTTGATGCTGCTCATTTAGCAGGTGCCTGCATTTTCCACGAGGTGATGGAAACCTGGTAAGGAAAATAAAACACGAGTCACATAAATCTGGTCACCAAACGCCGCTGGTTGTAAATCTTTTGACATTGCCCGAGTCCATAAAACAGCCTTAATGATCTAGCCGGAATTTTGATTTCGTTGAGAAGGCAAAGTGAAGTGGGCGGTGGACTTGGAAAACGGAGCTATTTGATTCTTTTCGGGCTGCTTGGATTCTGGAGCGAGTTCGTTTTTATGGCACTTGCCACTTAGCTTATCAATTAGCGGGGAAGTCGAGGAAAGTGGGGTGCGAAGGGGCTTAGGATGGGATTGATCCCCTCAATTATCGTGGAATCGAACAAATGAGAATACTGTAAGAAAAAAACACTAAGACACTACACATTAACTTTTCTTTTAGATTAGGCCACTGCATTTTCACTGCTCAAAAATACAGCATCTCCAATAATTGTTATTTAAAATTAGAGAAATATATAGAAGCAACAATTACAATCATATATTAACAAAAATGTATTTTAAAATTATAGTCCCTAATTGGAAATAATCACTTCATGATTATATTATATTGACTCTATTTTTGATTTTAAGATCACATTTATAAATGTTAGTCAGTACAGCAAAATTATTACAAAATCAATTACTATTTAATCATCATTCCAATGTTTATATTTAAGATATACATCATTGTCATTCAAAACCTCTTCTTTGTTTTGAAAAACCCTAGGCTTTGTATTTATTTTCAGTGTATAGAGTGATCTACTTGCTAGCTTGCGTGCAATTAAAATCCGATGACGCTGAACTTCTAGCTTTAGCTTTTGGTGGTGGATCTGGATCTGGATCTGGAGAGTATAGGGTACGCGGGGGGTGGGGGGAGGTGGGGATGCAGTGCACTGGCGACGACTGCTTAGAATGCATTTAATTAAATTTGAGCATTAATTGCCGCTTTAAGGCGTCGCGCGTGTCGCCTCAATTGCCGGGGTCTCGAAAACCCTTTCAAGTGGCTCTACTCAAGTCAACCCCTCCACTATCCATTGAATCCATCCATCTATATATGCACCCCCAACCACCACCCGCAGCTGGAGAGTCTCTTGTAAGAATTTGATTGTTTGATTGAATAAAAAACGAAGAAAGGCCTTAGAAGGGGCATCGCTTGATGTCTTGGCTCTAATAGAAAAACTCAATTATTCTTTACAAATGAAGAAAGCGAAGATGAGGGGTTAGATAAGCCATTTTTTATTCAAGATCGAATGGTTATTTTTGTAATTCAAAAAATAATTAGGCTTTCGTAGAGACAAATCTCTGTGCTGACTTTTAGAATCGCTTCCTTATGAATAAGTTAGCTTTCTTTACGTTTATCAAACGAAGATATTTTCTGCAATATTAGAAGAATTTCTTGTGATACTCCATTTATAATGCTCATTACTTTATAGTATAAAACCAAATGCTCAATTAAAATATATAAAACTATATTTTTAAACTGAAAAAACATGGCTTATTTAATGTTTTGGTTATAATAACAGATATAAACATGTTCTAACAAAGAATGTAATGTATTGATTTATATATATTGAAACTTGTAGAACTTTAATTTTTGATTTAAAGTTATAATGGGCTTTTTAAATATGCATAGTTGGTTTTTCCACTTGCACACCCTTCGGTGTTTTTTTTCAGACCTATTTTCGTAACCCCCTTCCACAGAAGTAACTTCCCGAATTGCATTTGCCAGAATTGTGAGTACATACTTTGTTGTCTGAGTTGGGAGCCCCTTTCTGGTCCAGCTGTGTTTGCCTTCATTCTTATTTTTCGGTTGCTCAGACTCGTTCTGTTTGTGTATCTTATTAGTCATGATTATCACAAGTGTTCCCAAGTGTTCGCCCTCGCCCTCGCCCAATCCCCAATATTTTCCCCCAAGTGGTGCAGCATCGTCCGAACCCACTTCTCAGCATATTTATTTATTATCATTTGTCTGCCCCAAAACCAGCCACAAAAATTCAATTCATTTTCGTCTCC